TTTCTGTCATTGGCTTTTTAAAGATCAGCCCCAGCACTTTGAATTGAGACCCTGGAAACCAAGTGAGAAAAAAAAATGAAATGAAGTTAGAACTTGCATCATGTTAAAAGATGGCTCTGCTGAAGTCAATGGTTGCCAGTTCCATTTTGAGCCAGTTGTGGTTTAGGAGAACTCTTAAGGGTGGTTTCCATACACAAAGCATATGTTGCATTCTTTATGTGTCCATATGTTTACAAATATTTATACAGTAAACTGCATAAAGCTATTTTTCAAAGAATTATCCAGCAATAAAGCAACACAATAAAACATAGCAATGAAACAATACACAATTGTCCATTAAACAGTTGCACTATCCAGGGAAGGTTTGCAAAAATGTTGCCATGCAGACTTCCCTGGGCATGCTGTGGTAAATCAGAAGCAGAAGTTGGGAGCATTAGTCTTTTTTTATTTTTTTATTTTATTTTTTTAACCACATCTTTTAAAATCCCTTAGCTGGGCTTGCTGGCTAGGGAATTCTGGCAGTTATGGTCCATAAAATTACTTTTCTAAGTTCTGATCAGAAACTTCTAGTGCAAAATTCAGCTACTAGAATTCTAAGTGCTGTAATGTAACCAGGTTTGTCTGTAACACACTCATTTTAAACAAACTGTCCGTTGCCGTTGATTCCAAAATACAATTCAGGCCTCTAATATTTACCTGTAGAAGTCCTGAATAACCTTGTGAAGGAACATTCACCTGACCATGCCATTGGATTTTCTGTAGATGTCCTTTTGTGTGTCCCTGTCTCAGGGGAGGTGGGCAACGCATCTACAAAGGAAGGAACCATTTCTGTTTTGGTGTGCCACAAATGGAAACATGTTCCTAATGAAGTATGTTTGTTGCCAGGATTGCCAAATTGGTGATACCAGGCAAGTTGTTATGCCTGGCTTTTGAATTGCACTGTTGCCTCTGTTTTCTCTGAGATTTTTTTTTATTTTATTTGCTTCTCGCTTGTTATGATCATTGTTGATATTTCATTCTGTTTGTACTGGCACAATTAATTTTATTTGTTCCTTTGTACACTGCCCTGAAAGCTATCTGACTGAAGGGAGGTTTAAAAATTTTATAAACAAAGATCACAGAGCCTTTGTAGATGTTGGAATGTTTCCTCATATTGTAAGATTAGAATTGCCGTACAATAGGAATCTTAGGTAGTTGCTTTTTTACGTTTCAATTTTTCAATTGCAGATACCCACCCACACAATATGCAGAAAAAAAGCATTAAAACTTAACCAAGTAGTGGGAAAGAAATATCCAGTTATACTGACTTTTGGATAGGGCAGACAACCTTAAAAGGAGGCTGCTCTTTCCTCTTTTTCCAATGGTTCATACAGTCGTTAAGGATGCTTAGCTTTGGTGAGTAACAAGATGCAGGTCAGAGCTTGACATATACTCAATAACGTTAAAAAAGAAGAAGAAAAAGTCTTGAGGCAGTGCATGTTAAGCAGGGTGAAAATTAGGCCTTGTGTAACTTGGAAAAAAGTAAAATTTTCATATAGTGTCTTTTGAAACAGGAGTCGTCTATGTCATTGCTATTCATAGGATGCCCTGCTATCAGTTGCCCACTGAGATGGTTGAACATGCTATTTGGAGTCTTACTGGATGGACATTCAAGGTTTTCAAATGCTTGTGAGCCACAGTGGAAAAAGAGGCACCACCAACATTTGCTGGTTTCCTAGCTTTATCCTCGGTGTCTGTGGCTCGATTACACCCCATATTCCAAGATCTTTTGGGGGAGGGGGAATCTGTGTCTCTCATGAGAGGATTCATATTCAGATGGGTTTCTATTTGCCATTCGTTTTACTAGGTGGTTAGATCCTACATAAAGAGCTAGGGAGAGAGGGGTAGGTGAAACAGTGGCCTGAGAGAAGGACAGTTCAAGGGAAGTAAAGGCTGGTTCTTTGAAGAAGAAAGGTTAGAAAAGGGCTAGGCACCAGAATGGAGGGATGTTTGGCAGAAGGATCTTGGGGATTTAGAGGAGGTAGAGAAGGAGAGGTGAAAAATGCTGTAGCCTCTTTGCCGGTTTGCAATAGGCCATCTCAGTTTTGAGCTAACTGCTGTTTTATTTAATAGTTTTCTATCGGATTCTGAACATAACTTAGAATAAGTTCTTAAGACCTTTTTGAGGGAATGGGGCAACTGGCACAAAGAAGAAACACAGGAACTGTAGCAATATTGTTTTTTTCCTATAGAGCTCAACAAGGACCCAATAGGCTAGTTGATTTTGTTCTGGCTAGGTCTTCCTTGTCAGTCTTGTCACGCAAGTTCCTCTGTCCATTTTGTGAACTTGGTGTGAGATAAAAGAAATCAGCTGGGAGAGAGAGAGAGCGTGTGCTTTGTGTAGAAGACAAGATACTGTTCTGGGTGCTGCTGACAGCAACATGCTCAAAATGACCATTATGGCAGCTTAACAAAGCCCGTGCACGTTGAGAACTGGCTTACATGTAGTTATTAGCAGTAACATAATGGTGTGATGTGGTGCCTTGGAATTACATTATTTCAAGTAGAAACGAGATGTATTCATCTCTCAATCAAAGAGTTGAACTTCCATTGCCCCATTCCCTTAATAAATATTTAAACAGAGTTCCAAAAAAGCAGTACTTCATTTTACAATGCTTATGTAATTTATTGGACTGTGTTCCCACACTCTTGATAAGGCAGAATGTGGTTTGTTTCCAGAGCTTGGGAGCTGTGCTTCCTCTTCTCCTTGATTTCCAAGATTGTGGCCTGCCCAGGCAGTCCCGGCAAAGCAGAACATCTGAGGTTCTGGGAGGACTTCCTGATAAAACAGGAACTTGATTGGTGGCTGTGTCCGGACAGAATTGGGATAAATCAAGCTAGTGGCTTTTTGTTATTGTAAAGGGTAAACTGGGTTAGTGTTTAATTTGCACTTTGTTTTTGCCAAGACCAAAGTTTTTAAACTGGCAGAATGAGGGCACTCAAAGATGGGGATGAAACAAAAACTACCCATGGTTCTAGAAAAAAGTCCGGAAAAAACACATTTTCCACCTAATTGAAATACTTTTATTGTTAGAAATGTCACAGTATGCACTCAGGATTTGATACTAAGAAGTACATGGATATACCTTGTGTATTACTTTGCATTTATTGGTAGCTTAGAGGATGAAGAAGTGAAGAATCCATTTTGAGAATTACTCTTTTTGTTAAGAGACATGACAGGGTATTCAGATCCTCTTACAAAGAAAGTGTGAGCTAATTAGGCAGGCCTTTTTACAAAATGCAGAATCCCTTTATAAGCTGAATACCTGCTTCCTCCTATTTTAGCTGAAAAATCTTTGTTTTGGAAAAACTTTGGAGGAGGGGGGATATTTTTGCAGAATGCATTTCACATGTGTGATGCTTACTCCTTGCGTTTCCTACATCGAAAGGCATAGAATTACTGTTAAAAATTCATCCTGCCTCGTCATTTAGCTTCAGGATTTGCTTCCATTCTCTAGCTTTAGTAGAACATTGTGACTGACCTTTTCAACTGTCTCTTTATTCCTGCTTGGGAAACGGCTTTTATCGATGTGTGGGAGTGAGGTAGGGCTTTCTCACAGAAGGTACTAAACTAGAAAACCCAAGATATGAATCTTCTTACATCATTTTGAAACTGTGAGTTATTTCCATATGTTGTGGATTGTCCCAACCCGATTTAGATTTGTACCTACTTCCTCCTCTCTTCTAAAATGATACTGTGTAAGTGAACATGGGTGAAAGTTTTCATTTTACACAACTACAGTACTATTCTGTTCTTGTCTCTCTTTAAAAATATGTTGTTGTTTTAAAAAAAAACATGCTCCTAAAACGATGCTGTGTAAAGTTTTCATTTTACACAACTACAGTACTATTCTGTTCTTGTCTCTCTTTAAAAATGTGTTGTTGTTTTAAAAAAAAAACATGCTCCCATCAATATATTTTAACCCTGTTGTCTGAAAATGAAACCAGTTTTGGTTTGCAGTGCTGGCATTCACGTGAGAGAAGATTAGCGTACCCTGAACTGCAGAGTCAGTTAAACGTGACCTTCCTGTATAGTACAGTCACTCACAGGCCATAATCCATATGTAGCGCAAAGCATCAAGGTATTTTCATTTGTTGTTGTTTTTCCCCTTGATAGTCAGTGGGGGGGGAGGGGAGGAGAGAGACATTTAAATTACAGGTAATTAGATCTGGGTGTTGGGCTTAGGACCTGGCTGCTTCTTTGTGATGTTTGCTGAAACCGAGAGAGTTGATCTCTTTACAGCATCTTTTATGTGCTCATGTTCTGTGGCTCTCAGAAGTCTCATGCGTTCTGCTGTTTGTGTGGGAGTAGCATGGGCTACCCCTTCAGATTTTAATGGCTATAGGGGACGGGGGGGGGGATAAACGTACTATACAATAAACACTTCCGTATAGTTTATTTCTTATTTTCTTTTGCTTTGTTTTGTGGATCTTGCCCAAGTTTACACTAGTGATCTCTTCTCCTAGGAGACTCACACACACAATTCATTGAGCCATCCAGCCAAGTATGCTTTTATTAGAGTCAGCCAGACTACCATATAAACATGCAAACTTTGGTTGGTCCAAATACTACAGGTATTGCCCAACTAGAGGTTTAGCTATTTAACAAGGCTTTCTTAAAAGTTGCAGGTATCTAGCCTTTTAGTACTTCAAGCTGATGTAAATTGTTTTTTAAATCTGTCTGAGCAGATTAAAAAAAAACAATAATTTGACATTTATTTTTATTCAGACTGAAAAGCAGACTAAATAAGAACGTAATATTGTTTGAGTCTTTCTATCTTGTCCAGTTAAAAACATAAAGTTCCATTAAACAACTTCATGAATTGGTGCAAACAAAAAGTGAATGGACTCTTCGGCAAAGAGTGAAACTATTTTGAAAATTGCTATTATACTTTGATTGCAAAGGCAGTTAGCAGAATGGAAAAGTAATTCTGATTTTTTCCTCCTCTTTCTTTAATCAGAGCACAACAATGGAAGAAACAGCTATATGGGAACAACACACGGTGACACTTCACAGGGTAAGGTTCTGCAGTTACTGTTCTATATCCATAACTCAGGATACTGTTAACTCTTGAAAACAATAGCAAGGATCCAGATGTCTAGAAGGAAAAGAAAGGAAACTGGCTTATCTTTTGTCTGAAATTAGTGCAATTGTAGAGTGTTTATAATAGTTTGCTTCTATGTTTTGCCCACTTTTATACCTCAGTAGTGTACTCAGTGTTATTTAACTGCTAGATGGCTTTTTGTTGCTTTTTAAATGTAAATGTAAACATGGAGATAGACTCAATTTTCCTCTTCAGTTATCCAAATGTGTTGGCAGCAAAAAATAGTATAAATGCACAAAAATATTGTGTGGACACTAACACGTTTGCATATATTGCAAACACAAATCTTTTGTGGGAAAGGACCATGGTTCTGTCATGAAGCATCAGCTTTGCATGCAAAGGGTCACAAGTTCAGTTCTTGGCCTTTGAGAGGAGGGGAATGTTCCACTCTTAAACCCCTTTAGAACTGCTCTTGTTTTAGAGTAGATGTTATGAACTACATGGGCTTTCTAGGTGCCCGTGCCACAAAGCAGCAGAGACCACCATGGTATTCAGCATCACAACGATTCCAGTGTGCATCAAGGCTTTTATTTCTGTTTTGTTCATGATATATGTGTCTCCTTTCATGCATAATGTCCTTCCTCACTGACAGTAAGAAACCGTAAAGTCTCTAGTCTTTCTGATAAGGAGGATCAAAATGTCAATCCAGTGCCTTACAAAAGCAGGGCTGAATTAGTTGGGTGGAGTCTGGCGCATAGTGAAGACTCTGTGAGGTCCTCTGTGAAGACTTACTCCATGACTGCTAGAAAGAGAATATGAAAAGATAACTTATGCAAATTTCCCTGTTCTAAGCAGGATAAGGCATATCACGTCTTACATCACAAACCTTAGCTTCCTTTACTGCAAGAGCTTGTTTTAGGTAGGAAATCTGGGCATCAATGGTGTGTTTGGAAATCTTTATTTTTTGGCAAGGGATCATAGCTGCATTATTTCACACACTGATATAAAGATTAGAAATTGCATTAACAAGTCATATGACTTCCTTAAATATTATCAGAGAGATAGCTTCTTTAAATAGTTGTTGTTGTAGAAGTGCCTGCCAAAGCCAGGTAGATTTGTGGCTCAAGTGCTCTGGTGCAGTGAGATGTGTACTGCAGTCTGGGGAGTGAAACCTCGGTGGGAGCTTTTCCAATGCTTCATGGAATGCTATACTGCACCATATGCTCTTAATTCCTGCCTGCAAAAGAGCTTTCTGAGGCTCGAAAGCCAGCCTTCTTTCACAAACAGAAATTGGACAAGGAAGAGGCAACGTTTCGGCTCCTTCTTTTTGCAAGTTGGCTGGACCTCCTTAAAGATTGGATTTTGTTGAAGCAAGATTACCTCTCCAGTTCTGTGTGAGCAAGCATCTGTTTTGCTAATTGGATTAGGGAAACGAAGAGAAGCTGCAGCAGACATAATTTAAAGGGCTTGTACAAGGAATGTTGAGATACAGTTTGTGGACTGATGCCCTTCCCCCCTCCCAATTGTTGAGATAGATTGAAACCATAAGAGTTTTAACCAAATCTTTGTTTAAATTTGAAGTAACAGAAGGATTTGGTAATAAGACAAACTGTGTAGTGTGCTGAACACCAAAAAGCTCCTTGAGATGATATTAGGGCTCATTTAGCCAAGCACTTCTGTTTCTAGCAGAGGTCAGCCAGATGCTTCAGGGAGGAATACAAGTAGGACATGAAGGCAAACGCTCACATCCCCCCTTATCTTCAGCATAGCTTCAGATCTGTACTTTCCCTTGCAGAAACACTGGGCTGTGTTTGTGATAAGAGAAACGTAAATTAAGGTTCAGCACCTCCTTTAGTCAGATTGAGGCAGCTGCCTTGGGTGACATGAAATATATATTGCCTTTTTGTAGTGTAAGTGTAGAAATGCAAATCGGCCCCTTTCTAAAAACCACATTTATTCCCATTGAGTTCTTTTGCCTCCAGGAACCTGATCAAAGCAGTGTTCTTAAGGTCATTATCAAGATTACATCATGACATTCTGTGTGAGCGGCCACGTGATGGCCACCCTTTCTGCTCTTAGTATTGTTTTCCTGAAGTGCAGCTTTCAGTTGTGAAACATGAAAGCAAGTACTATGCAACATACAGGGAGGCATTCATGCAAGATGGAATGCTGTGGCATCATGCTCCTCTGGGCTTACATTTCATCCTCCGTTACCGTAGAATAAAACACAGGAGTTGCCTTCCTGAAAGCTTCCAGGAAAGGGACACCTGGGGAAGATTGCTCCTGTCTCATTCTGCTCCTGTCTTCTGCTGGAGCCGCCGTTGGTCTAAAGTGGATCGATTGTATTTGCACCCTATAGGAATCTTCAAGGTTTACCTGATGGGTCAGTTACATTTGGATATGGATGTGTTGTGGTAGAAATACCTTTGAAGCAAGAAATGTGCCTTCTTTTATATTTAAATTGTGCACACTGTAACACTCACTGGTCCACTGCAGAATTGCTGGGGAAACAGCTTCCTGTTATGTGAACAAGCTGCAGGGGACTATTCCCCGTGTAAGTTTTGTTCACATGCTGGAGACGGAAATTGGAAGCTTTAACTTCCTGTTTTAAAACAACCCGCAATTAATTGAGAGCCCCCATTGCATGCCTTCGTTGAACTCCAACTTTGAATTGCAACTGCTCTCACTTAGGATCTCCCTGATATGCATGGGCAGGTCATCCTTGGGTTCTCCCTGGTGGCTATTATATGAAAATGTCTTCAATTTAAATAGCATCTGTATGTTGAATTGCTGGTTCTAAACCAAAAAGGTAAGAGGGAGGATAAAACATGCTGTTTATTTAAAAGACTGCCCAAGTGGTCATTCTTCACTGCAAGTTGAGATATTTTAGCCTTTGATTCCTAGACACCCTGGCTAGCATGCCAATGGTCAAGAGTTCTGGAAGTTGAAGACCAAAACATTTCAGGGACCAAAAGTAGAGAGCTAGTACTCTGGAGAATGTTGTTGAAGCTACCAGTTTGGACCAAGCCACAATGGGGTAATGGAAGCTCGTGGCAGATCTAAATAAATGCTGGGTGTACTGATTTAATGGGGAAACACTCTTCAGTAGTGAGTGTTCAAACATGCCAGCATCTCTCTTACTACCTTTTTATTCTGTTATGTCTTTTTAATTTTTGTGTTTTTATTCTAACGTTTCTGAGCAGAAAAGCGAATGACACAGACAATCACAAGAGTTTGGGTGGGGAGTCATAGCAGGGTGATTTCATTTTGTTTCTTTATTGCACGCAAGCAGGCCTTCATGATTGGGAGGGACCTTGTAAGGCAAAAGAGAAGAGGAGAAGGGATGAGGATGGTGGCTAGGGAATGAGGGAAAGGAGGGGGATGATGCCTGAACAGGGTGATGCTGCTAGTCCAGCTTTACTGTTACCCACGCAGACACTCTGCCTGGAGGCAATGTAGGTTTTTTTTTGCAGAGTATCCACTTCCTTCCCTCACCAATCCAGTCATCTGAAGAACCGTAGGGCCAGCTCAGTCTCAGTTTGGAGAGAGTGAGACCCTAACCCGACACAGGCATTAAATATTGCTGTTGCCGGGTTGGGGCAGGGCTTTTGGCAGCATTTTTCCTGTTGGCCATCCTTTGTGAAGCATTACCTGAAGCTTTTCTTAACCTCTGAAGATGAGACCTTTTTATGTCCCATTGCCCCCCAATTCACCCAGTTGTCATCTTCAAAGGGCGGAGCTCAGTTTCCTGTTTGAGGAGTCCCAGTGCTGATTGCATTTTCCAAACTATCCGCTTTCTCTTCTGGGAAAAGAGAGTTATGTGGATGCACAGATTTTAAATAAAATATGTCCCTGTCATTAGACAGGTGGGTTGGTGAATGAAATAAAAAAGAAGGGAAGCCATGTTTTAAAAGAACATGTTTCTCCTCCTAGACATTTTTGCAGGGAGGAAAACTCCACTGACAGTACGTGCAGTCCTTTTAAACTTGGGACTGAACACATCGCTTCCATTTTAATCCACAATTTGGAACCAGCAGCTTTCGATTTGGTTGATGGTTCTCCTGGTTTTCTCTTTGCCAAGTCGATAGCAGCATCAGCAGTGTGATCAGAGCCTGCTGATGGCAGGAATTCTTCGCTTGCTGAACTTTTGTGTAGTTTGTACGCAAGAGCATTGAGTTGTCTTAAAGCAGGGATCATTCTGCAAGAAATAACCTATCCTGCAAAGTGTATTGTAGGTTTTTTTTCCCCTTCTCCTACCCACTTGGCCCTCTGACAGAAGCATTTTTATGGCCATACTTGTTAATCCTCAAATACCTTCAAGCCAGTAGGTTTATTTCCACTATGTATGCTTTTTCTTCTCTTCTTGCACTTCAAAGAAGTTGGGTCAGGGCACCTTTAGAGCATTTGTGCCAGTATTTTGCATTTTTATTAGCTGGCTCTTCAGAGTTAACAGAGCTCACAGTATGAGCTGTGGATTAACAGTGTAATGCATATATCAAACTTCAGTGTCAAAGTTGGTCTTGCAGAAAAAGACCAAGGAGTATTATCCAAGACACTGAATCACATTAGTGTGTACAGTAGGTGTCATATGGCTATAGATTACACTTAATAATATCCTGTTGATACGCTCAGATGTACTCTTATCCTGCATATGGAGATTTCCGTACTCGCATAGGCATCCTTACCTGTATTGTTACTACAATGGGTAGATGCCTTGTGAAAAAGAAAACTATACATATTAGGTGTGCTATCTTTTATTGAGCTGAAACCAGCTCACCACAATCTCGATACAGTGGGCCCTCGATTTACGAACTTAATCCGTTCCGGAAGTCCGTTCATAACACGAAAAGTTCGTAAGTCGAAACCAATTTTCCCATAAGAATGCACTGAAACCCATTTAATCCATTCCGGCTCTTTTTGGTTCTTATGTCGAGGGGCGGTTCGCAAGTCAATTCATTAGTTCCCATAGGAAATAATGCAAAGCTGCTTAATCTGTTCCTACCACAAGGGGCAGAATTTTTCTCCCCCCCCCTTTTTTTCTTTCTTTTTTCTTTTTGGTTCATAACTCGATTCCGCATTCGCAAGTAGGGTCTATAGTTTCCTATGAGATCGGGTTTGTAACCCGAAACGTTCGCAGCTAGGGCCGTTCGTAAGTCGAGGGCCCACTGCAGAGCTTTCGAGATAAGTACAATATTTAGGGAGTGGTCAGAGCTCAAGATGTTTTTCAAGAGAAGAGCCAAGCTGTGTTGACTTTGACAAGCCGTGCAGTCCCAGGGTGCCCGCAGAAGAACGGCATGGTAAACTCCTTTTAAGTACTCTCTACCTCTGGAAACGGTTGCTGTAAAGAGTTGACTAGATGGCTTGCAATCACAGTGCTATCCCCATCAGTGAGTTTCCATGGCCAGGTGGGGATTTGAACCCAGATCTCCTAAATTGTAGCCTTATCACTCTAACCACTACACCACATTGGGTATCAAGTAGATACAGTAAGGAATATTAATTAAGCACACAATGCAAAGTTCCTCTGTCTCTGTTTTATTAATTGCATATGCTGTATACCTGGAGTAAACTTAAAATAGTCATATTGGGAAGCCTGGATAAAGATGATGCAGGTGGATTCACCAATAGATAAAGTTTATGCTCCCGGGGGGGTTGGAAGTCTGCCTTAGCTCCATGCAAGCCTTATACAGTGCAAGAAATCTGAGATGGATTCTGTTCATTCTTTCCCTCTGTGGTGCACATTCATGTGTGCTTTAAGAGTTAATTTGAGGATTAAATGAGAAGAATAGCATGGACTGCATCTTAGTAGAAGCATGGAGGTGTCAGTGCTTGCTTTCTGTCTACCTACCTGTTACATATACAGACTGGCGGCACTGGACACATATGTTACGGTATAGACCATCCTGAGTTTGGGAAAGCACCTTACACTCAATCAGTATACTCTGTTCATAGCTGGTAATTTTCTTAAGCCACCTGCTTTCCCTCCAGCCACTGGTCTGTCTCTAATACATCAAATAAATGTGAATTCTGTGGTTAAACAGTTTCAAATGGCACATGTCAGTCAGTGTGTTGACTTTGACAAGCCGCACAGTCCCAGGGTGCCCGCAGAAGAACGGCATGGTAAACTCCTTTTAAGTACTCTCTACCTCTGGAAACGGTTGCTGTAAAGAGTTGACTAGATGGCTTGCAATCACAGTGCTATCCCCATCAGTGAGTTTCCATGGCCAGGTGGGGATTTGAACCCAGATCTCCTAAATTGTAGCCTTATCACTCTAACCACTATACCACATTGGTGGTATACCAATATACCACTATACCAATTCAAATAAATGTGAATTCTGTGGTTAAACAGTTTCAAATGGCACATGTCAGTCAGAGGGGAGTACAGGACTAAGGGACCCACAGTGCAGTGATACATCATGTGCTTTGCATGACTGGTCCCCTCTTTGGTGTAGTTCCACAAACAGGAAAAGACCTTTAGGCAAGCTTCCCTGAGTGATTGTCTGCCAAGTGGGTTTTTAAAAATGGATTGTGTTGCCTTGGTGCATTAAATGCATTTTGGTGTTGTTTTATTTTTTTATTTTTTTTGGTATTGTACAGTATTCGTTGATCCTTTTAGTATGGCATACTCATTGTTACAGACTTAAATACTGACTTTCAGTTGTTGTAAACCATCTCAGGTCCTTTTTAAGGAGAAAAGCAGGTTAAAAATACTTTAAATAATAAACAAACAAACAAAATATCTCTGGTATCTCCAGTTCAAAGGGTCAAGTAGCAGTGATGAGACTGTTGGCCCTTTTATCTCAGTGTGATCTAATCTGATTGACTGTACCTACCTAGCTTTTCATTAAGTCTAGCTTGAGAACTTCTGAGATAATTGCTTAGTATACAGATGTTTCCTTGCCCAGAAAGCAGACACTTGTGTATTAAATGCTGCCGGCTTCTTGAATCCCTTACAACTTCTGTCCAACACGAACTTCTTCCTTTCTTCTTCTAGGCTCCTGGATTTGGATTCGGTATTGCAATATCTGGCGGAAGAGATAATCCCCACTTCCAGAGTGGCGAAACATCCATAGTTATATCAGATGTGCTCAAAGGTGGTCCAGCAGAAGGGCTGCTACAGTAAGTATGGAGTTGAATCTTGATTTCTGGGGGAAGTTTTCTACATTTGGGGCTCAGTTTATTCTTCTGATGTTTTATCCACTGTGCCTGTTGGGGTTATTGGAGAGAGAACCTTTTGTCTTCCTTAACCCTTGTTGAAAGAACAAGCTGGAGGAATATGTGTCTGCCCAATTCCCATTGCCCCTGCAGGTGGAAGCCGCCTTATTTATCTCCTGCTGTTCTTACACAATATATATTGACCAGAAGTTGTTCCTAACTCTGATTTTTAAAAAAAAGTAACCAAAGTTCAGTAGTGCACAAATGCAAAATGGATATTCTAATACATTCTGATAAATACATTCTCTTAAGGATCTGCTGAGCAGAACTGCCATGATTTAGTATTATTAATCTTTTATGCAGATTGCTTCAAAACGTTTTGTTTTGTATGTGACACCAACAAGATTCTTATTCACATGTTATATTTCTTCCCCTTCTCCACCCCCAATTCCTCCTTCCAGGGAGAATGACCGTGTTGCAATGGTTAATGGTGTTTCAATGGATAATGTGGAACATGCCTTTGCTGTTCAGCAGCTAAGAAAAAGTGGGAAAAATGCCAAAATTGTAAGTGGATGCTTCCTGCTCCCCCTACCCCTAGGTTTGTGAGCGAGGGTCAGCTTCTCCCAGAGAACTATTTATATGATGGATTTGCAAAAAACAAAGTGAAAGTAAGCCTCTGGGGTGGATTTGATGACATTTACTGTGTGGTGGCTCAGAATTCTTTACATAACTTCCTATTAAAAGATGGTAGATAAGCTCTTGCAGGAATTGCCATGAGCTTTTTTTGAAGAGAACTGTGTTGAGTCTTACTTGGTGGGGTGAGTGGGGGCAAAGAGCATTCTCCTCCCCACCCCAAACTGTGCATTCCTGTACTCTCGATTAGTATTTCTAAACATTGGTCCTTGGCCAATGCCTTTGGTAGTTCGTGGGGTGGAATGGCTGAAGTGTTACGCTCAGACTCAAGAGACCGTCTCTTTTAGTCCCTTGGGTGTAGGACGTGGAGAGCTCCTAGAGTAGAAGATCAATACGTATAAACCTGTCCCAATTACAACAAGGGGAAAACTTTGTTTAAGCAGGTTTTGCAAACTAGCATGAGTTCCTGAATGGCGGAAAGGTGAGGTGTACCTCCCTAAAAACCAATAATGTTACTGTAGAGGCTATAGCAGAATTTAAGAGTACTGGGAATCATAGAGGCAGAAAATGTTTGTTAGTGCAACAGGAAAGTCTCTAGAGTTTTGGCACAGGTGTGCATATTTAATCTACTTATCAGCACTTGCAAGTTCAAAGCCGGAACAGGGAACTGGAGAGTTGGGGATTTGGGGAAGAGAGTGGCAAACAGGGAAGGAATGTGTGAGGCAGAGGCAGAGGCAGAGGTCCAGGTCAGCCCTCTGAGGACAGCCTTGCTGAGCAAAACAGCCCTGAATCTCAAATGTTCCTAGGTTAACCCCTTTCTGGCCTAGTATGTACTCTCTTTGCCTATATGAGGTATTGGCCTCTTATATTATCCACTCTTGCGGAGTAACATTCTTTCTTTTTTTAATATAGCCTCAGTGAAAATACAGTGCTTGACATATGAAACATGCTTTCCCATTGAACGGGGCAAGGGGACTGCTTTCCACCATCTCACTTAGTAGAGCTTCCCGGGACTGGAAGCAGGGTTTCAAGTCTGGATCTTTCCCAGCTGCCTGAGAATGGAAACTGCCAACATTTTAAATGTTGCATATGTTTTGCGTGTCAGCTCCCAGAATCTGTGACCACTGAACACCTTGGATGAGTCTTCTGGGAGATGACATCCAGCACCATCTGGAGGAGCAAAGATTGAGGCTCTTTGCTGTGAAGTAAAGACTTGGTAGGCGGGCAGTTGTGACGTGTGCTGCCAGCCAGTCTCTCACCTGGTTGGATGAGTGACTTGATTCAGAATTGGTATAGTGACCCAGATCGAGCTGGTGCCTTTCCAGATGTGTTGGTCTGCCATGTTCTCAGAATCTTGCCTCCCCACCCACCCCAGCCAGCCCTGTTTCTAGGAGGTCCAGCCTGACATACTGGGAATACACCCGGGTGGGGGAGACTGGATCAGGTTATCAGTGTGGTCCGCTGTGTTGGGTGGGCTTCACGTACTTGAGTCCTCATTGCAGTCCACACCTCTTTCAGCATATTTAAATCCTTGAGATTGAGCTGTTCTGCTTTTCTGCTGTGAAGTGTCTTGCCCCAGATTCCTTCTTTTCCTCAGCCAAATGAAGACACCTCCAGGCAGCATGGAAGGCCTGCCCTTCAAGTCTAGAGTCCCCGGTTAATGCAAGCTCCCCCCCCCCCCCCCACAAATTGGCAATGCCCAGGATGAAGCAGAACATTTCAAGTGCCCTGTGTGTTGAACGGCATCGCTTTCCTTTACTCCTCAGCAAAGCAACCTTCCTCCAGGTTCTGCGTGTGCCATTTGCCACCTTCCAGTGGAGTTCCATTGATCCTGCTATTCTTTCAGACATGTAGAGTTAATAAGTAACATTTTTATTTTATCTGCAAATCAGCTTGTCCTCATTGATCCACCTGCATTGTGGTAAACAATTGCAGTTCTCCTCCACGTGAAGAGTCTTGACATATTGCTCTGCTTCCAGTATGCTTAAGCCAGACATTCTGGCTCATGTCAAAGCTTTTCCTTCTGATTACTGAGGGAAAGCAATCCTTATTTCCAGGCAATCACAAACTACTAAATCATAGTTGATTATCTTTTTCTGTATGGCATCATATTTGGGAATTGCCACAAACTGGAAAAGAACTTGCAGTTTATCCTTATATGCTTGGAGAAGCAGAATGTGGCATATTGCCTCAATAAAAAAAATTAACACACCAATTCAAACCAAATTCCCAACACATGATTTCCTTTTTTTAATGTTAATAAGAATGACAAGATTTATTTTTCACTAGCCTCTCATGTCAGTCTTTGGCACAATATTGTAATCTGATGCAGATTACAATGGTGTGAAGATATTATATCAGATTATACATTTCTAGAGAAAGATCTGTACTACTTTGTTGTTCTTTCACTGTTCTTTCAATAAAGAGTTTAGAAAAAACTTTTGATGCCACTCTAGAATATGGAATTCCTGCGCTTCTGAAGCAGTTTTTGCCTGCGTATCTATGTAGAGTCTCAGAATGTGACTGCACATGTTGATGGTGATACCAAGGATAATAAATGTATAAGAGGAGGGAACCTCATAAATACAGAAATGGTGATGCATGAACACAAATAACCAGAGATGCACTTTCTCAGCCTGCACGGCTGTCACTTTGTCTTCTTCCATTAACAGGGTGTCAGGCATGCTAATACTCCTGCAGATAACTTGTTTTTAAAATCCTTCCTCATGTGTGCCTTCCCTGTATGGCTAGTACATCTTGACATCATTATTTCCTGTTCTTCCAGCTTGAATAAAGGGTGCTTTTACTAGTTTCTCCTCCTTTTTTAGTGTAATCTGGCAGAAATTTTTGGAAAAACCTAAATCAAATAAATAACATGGGGCTCCTCTTCCATAGTTATTTATGGCAGTGAAATAGCATATTGTCTGCATGTCTTGTAGTATTTAGCTGGAAGTACCAAACCCCTGGCCAGGAACAAGAAATAGCATTGCTGCCTGTCATCTTTCAGACCGCAAGTAAGTCATTACAAGGAAAAGGTGTTGCTTTTCACCCCCAGTCTAGAATTCTGTTTGCCAAAGGGAAGAGAACTCAGGGCTGCTCTCAAGCAGGTGGGCCCTCTTCTCCTTCCCGTAAGACGTCAGTAGTTGATAGGTAGTAAAAACACAGGGCCAACTGCTTTAATATAGTCCACACCTTGACCTTGGTGAATGACCCACCACACTGATTCTGAGTAAAGTAGTGGACCTTTGTGTGAGCTGTGCCAGTTGAGATGCAGATGGTGGTCACATACTGGAATGCTTAATCACAGTAATAACGATAACTTTTAAAAAAACTGGTGAATCAAAAATACTCAGCTAGAAGACACTTCCTCAGAGAAGGCATACTGGTGTGTGCATGCACATGTGTAAAAGTACTAGAGAGGCATTGAATGGTGACCCCTGCCTCCCATTTATAATTGCCATTTTGTTTTTTGCCCATTGCTGCCTGAAAAGCATCATCCTCATTCTTGTTCCAGAAAGTGGAATAACCAAAGAATGTTGCATGCCTCAGAATTATTGATCATTAAAATAATATAGTGCGTTTACGTAGTAGTGTGAAAGTAAGTTGAGTTGGTAAGTTTCGACAGAAATTTGTGGCCAGCGGTGGTTTTCCATTGTTATTTTGGTGGCTTGCCAACTGTGATACAAAGGCCTGCATCTCCTGCTTATTGAAAAGGTGTACTGTGAGCAGTTAAATCACTTTCCACTCTAGCACTCTTGTCAAGCATTGAAATACTGAAGTAGTAGCAATGTCCATAGGTTATGGTTCTCTTTGTATAATTTCCCAGACATCTCCCCCCTCTCCGAGATCAGAGCAGACTCCTCCCTTGCCTCAATTAAGGAGAAAAATGTATTCATCGATAACTATGCCTAGTGCGGAATGCCTGCACATAGTCATAGCTCTTGGGTAACTTTGTGCTTTTAAAAGTGTGTGTGTGTGTGTGTGTGTGTGTGGGCATGTATGAAAATGTATATATACATATTGAAGAGCTGTCACCAAATTAAATAAGTCTTTGTAGTACAGTCACATGCGTGTGTCTATCTTAATTACTGAAGAATAAGCCCTACTGAAGACTGCGCAGGATTTTAGCCTTGATTAATCATGCGAGTTTTCTCTAGTCTTCAGTGTGGAAGGGATGGTCACTCGTATTTTAATTATTGAAGAGTAAGCCCTACTGAAGACTGCACAGGATTTCAGCCTTAATTGATTAATCATGCGAGTTTTCTCCAGTCTTCAGTGTGGAAGGGATGGTCACTCTCGAATTGGCCTTCTCAGCCACACTTGACGCTGTTCCAAGTCCTCTCTTCAGAGCACGTTATCATAGTCTGTCAAGATTGAAGGAGGCCTAATCTTTCTCCAGTGAACTTTCCAAATGCCTTATAACTAAGACAGTAGCTAATATTTTAAGAAACATTTTAAAAGAATGTAAGGACCCTAGCTTTCCCTTCTGCTCTGCAGAATAATATCAGCGTAATTTAAACATTTATTTGCAGATACGTAAACCTACTGAAACACACTTTATCAGGGAAGTGCTTAGATTGAACCATCAGTTGATTTCCTTTACCCTGCCTCTGTTGTCCCCTTGTGTTGACTTGTACTTCATAGGCCCCTTGGGGCAGAAACCTGCCCAGTTGTACTGGATTTCAAGAGCCGGGAGCACTGATTTGGGCTGATTATACCTAGGTAAAAATACCTCGTTATTCCATGTTGTATTTTGGTGCATAGTTTTGTATTTTATCTAGAGCCAACTTTTAAACAAATCAGTAACCTCTTGCAATTTCATCTGTATTCATCAGATGATATTGCCTGTCTTCAATTAATTGGTTTCTCTTGACCACAAATGCCACATAATTGTTTTATGGACTGTATTCATTGTATTTGGACTCACTTGACTCTTAATGCAGGGAACTGAGCTTTGGTCAAAGAACTGAAAAGCAGAGTTCAGAAGCAGTGACTTCTGTGTAGACCCATTATTGATTGAGACATCCATTTAATATTTGGATATTCCTTGATAGTTCCCCCCCCCCATTTCTTCACAATACTGTGCTGAATTTAACTGATCTGTGCCTTTTCTCCTGGCTGACATCGCTAAAAACAAACCAGGCAATACAACCATTAAAATCGTTGCTCAAAACAAGTGGGGAAATGAAGCCATTAAAATAATAACCTGTAAACATACAGTTTAAAAGGTCAGTTTGAACAGATGTGTCTTCTCCACACCCTTCCTTAAAGCAATGAGAGTGGGAAGTGGTTGCAACTCTGAAGGGAGTGCATAGTCCATAGTCTGGGGGCAACACAAGAGAGAGCCCTCTCCAGCTTGTCTGGTCAAGTAGATGCCCACAAGCCGTGGTACTCTCTAGAAGGCCTTCCTGGACATACCTTGCCTTTCAAAGGATTATGTTTTCATCTACGTGTTTTACTCCTAATTAAGTATATCGTAATTTCTTCACGTCTGTAGTTATTATTTTTATGCACCATTTTCATGCTTTTCCTGTTGGGTGCTTAGATTCTATGCTGGGTAGAATGTTTCTTTATAGTTAATGTTTTTAAGGAGAGTTTATGAAGATACGGGTATGCTTTTTTTTAAAAAAAGGAATCAGTCAGTTACTAAAATAATCTACTGTTGAAGTGATGCATTTTCCCTGAATCCAGGAAACGTATTTATAACTTTGTAATGCTGCTTCCTGGTCAGTCTCAGTAAAGTTTAGGAAGCAATTTAAACCTTTTTTTTCACCAGCCTCCTATAATATCACTCGCTTCTTTTCTGATACTACTATTTCTCCCCGATTTTCATTTTTATTTACTATTACACTTTCAGTGTTCCCTAAGATAACTTCAGATGCACTTTGGGGTAGTGTCTTCCCCTGAGTATTCCACCAATAGCGGAGTGATGCTGACAGTTCATTAATACTGGAGAAGCAGGAAATCTTTTCTCTGGGGTAAAGCCAGGAAGAAACTGCACAGCTATAAATTTTAAAGTGCAACACACGTATAAATATGTTCAGAGTATTGCATATTCTGGGTTTACACTGCTGAATTTTTATATTTCATCAGAAACTAAAGGGTTAAAATATATGTTCCAGACCATCCGAAGGATGAAAAAAATTCAGATACCCATAACTCGGACAGAACCAGACCCTGTGTCTGAAAATGATGAAGACAGTTACGAAGAAGATATGCATGATCCAAGAGGTTCCCGCGGTGCTGCAAGCCTGAGCAGAAGGCCCGAGAAGAGCTGGGTGAGGGACCGAAGTGCAAGCAGAGAGCGGAGTTTATCACCAAGATCAGATAGAAGGTCGGTAGGTTCTGGTCAACCTGCCAAACCTACTAAAGTCACATTGGTGAAATCCAGGAAAAATGAAGGTATGCCGCAACCTTACAAAAGGAAAGTAAGTTCACTGACTGGAGAGGCAAATTGAAAGGTTCCCCCATGCCATTCCATCTTTGAACAAAATAAGATTTAACTGAAATGTTTTCCAGTGCTCCTTTAAAAGCGATACTAGCTGATTTTACAAGTAGCTAGTTGCAGATAATATTGTTACCTGTAGCTTTTGGATAATAAGCAGTATAACTGGTTACTTTTTAGGTATAATTAGTAACACAGAGATACAGTGGTACCTCGCTAGACGAGCTCGCAAAACGACGAATCCATATGACAATGAGGTTTTGCGATTGCTATAGCGATTTGCAAAACATTGATTCCAATGGCCGATTTTCACTTGACAGTGATTTGGTCCATGCTTCGCGGACCGTTTTTTCGCAAGACAATGATTTTTACAGCTGATCTGTGGCTTCTCAAAATGGCTTCCCTATGTTTTCAGGAACAATGCTTCGCAGGACAGCCATTTTTACAGCTGATTGGTGCTTCATAAAATGGCTGCCCTATGGGCGATCTTAGCAAAATGATGATTTTTCCCCATTGGAACGCATTAAACGGGTTTCAGTGCATTCCAATGGGGAAACAGTTTTCGCAAGACCTGGATTTCGCTAAACAACGATTTTCATGGAACGAATTATCGTCGTCATGCAGGTCACCACTGTACTTTCAAAAATTACCTTTAAAAGGTATTATGGGTCCTATGAAAGACAATATTCAGGGTTTTTGCCACTTTTCTTCCCAAACATGTATAGCAAGGGAAGCAGTCTTTTGTTTTGCTTTGTTTTTGTAAAAGTATTTCCAAGGAATAATACTAAAACTGGTTACAAGAGGGAACCAAAGTGTTTTTCTCTGGGTTGTGCATCAAATTGCTTGTACAACCTGAGCAACTAGGCATTAATAGCAAGCTAGCTGTCACAGTATGTTCCAAGCTCTGTTCAGTAACATCATTTCTTTGTGCTTAAAAGACTGTGGAAGTCCCATGTATACAAACTGGGGCCTGTGCCTCTGGCTGTATGCATTAGGACTTACAATCCCAGGGCAATTATTTGTGGCCTTGTTTTTCTTGGCAAATGTCTCTGAGCTTCTACATTTGCCATTTTCTCTCACTGGTCTTTGTGTTGTCCCGCATAGATTCACTGCACATGAATGTGCCAGATCTTGGAATATTCTTGAGCTCTACCTGGGGAGATGATGTGATTATACTTCACTTTCTTCAAGCCTTGAGTGTCTGCCCTGCTGCCACACCCGTTATCTTGTTCCATGCTAATAGCAGCGGGGCAGAGAAATATGTGAACACAACCATCTCTTTGTGAACTTTTTTTAAAAACTGGAGAACAAGGAAAAGGAAAAAGGCTTCCGTGGGGGTCTCCCGTGATATGTGCTATTCCCACTCTGTTCTTTACATTTAAACCCAAGCTTAAAACATTCCATTAAATGTAAGAACCTCATTTGAGTGTGGAGTTCATTTGGAATTAAGATTTAAGTAAGGCCACCCATGTTGTTTGGAAGCTCTAAAGCATGTTTTACCTTTTTAAAAAAAAGCAAAAACAAACTTAGGAGTTGGATGTTTGCCACAAAACACATGTGCAGGTTCCCTAAGCAAGCTTTGAATTACAGGCATGTGTGTATATGGAACAACGGGGTAAGGTGAGTGGTAGTTTGACCTAGGGAGGATACCTTTCTGCTGAGCCTGAAACTTTATTAGGTCAAATTGTGCTGTTCCTTTGTCCTACTTCAGAAGGGTTCTTTTTATTTTGTGAGCTTAGCCTCCTGCATAGTATCTGAGAAGATGACATTGAACACTAGGGGTGGGCATCTTCCTATACCAATGAAACATCAATTATTTGTATTACATATCTTGCTCTTACTTGAATTACAGTAGTGAAGGTTCAGGTTGCAGGGAAGCCTTTAGGACTGGAGAGGTCCAGTCTAAAAGAATTGCCTGCAAACTGAAAGGTTATTTAATCAAGCCCAGAAAAAAGTAGCAGCCGATATTGCCAAAATCTCTTTGTCTTGGTAGTGGACAAAATAATGGTTCCTGCTGTTTTACTATCAACAGACCAGAAACACAGTCAGGATATGTTTACAAATATGGTAGTGCAGTACGTATAGGCATTGTATGGTTCTTTTTGGAAAGAAGAAAGCAAGAGGAAATGGCTTTGTCCTCTAAGTCACATTTTCCCTTGTACCAGCTTAACTTTTTAATGCAAGTGTGGAGATTTCTGCTTACCTGAAGGGAGTGCGATGCTAATTGAGCTTGCTCTATTGCTGGCAAACAGTTCTGGTATTCCAATTGCTCTTCCTCTTGAGAAAGAATTTGCAAAATGATCTTGCTCTATAGCCATTGCTCAATTATACAGATGACTGCAGACTGCCGGTTAATGACCTGGGAGTCAATCTCACAGCAGCATTATGCATACAAGTTACAGAGAGTATCAAACTAATTATGCAAATTGGCGATCCAGAGTAATTCAGAGCTGAGCATTTCATTGTTAGGTAACAGTGTCATATCCCTGCCTTCTGGCCGGATGGTGCTGCTTCAGTAAAATCTTCAGCACAGCTTGGTACTGGTAACTTTCAAACTTTCTAAACTGCCATCCTTAACAACATTGTAAATGCACCATCGTTTGTTTGTGTGGATGTAGTTTCCTTTGATACGGAACACAAAATGACATTTTAGGAACTCTGATCCAAAGCATATAGGCTTGTAAACTTGGGTCAGAGTTAGGCAAGATAATACAAACTTAAGTAGAAGTGTAGCAACAACAGGCACAAGAGTGGTTCCAAAACGAAAGCAAGGTTGTCTAGAAAATTAGAATTGGAAGCACTCTTAAGACTCCAAAAAAGTGCCTAGGCTTTCATTGATCAGATCCCAGAAGAGCTTAAGTTCATATATGTGTGTGTGTTTATGTATTGATATATTTATGCCTTCCTTCCTTCTAAACAGAATACGGGTTGCGCCTGGCCAGCCACATCTTTGTGAAAGAAATATCGCAAGATAGTCTGGCAGCAAGGGATGGCAATATTCAGGAAGGTGACGTTGTACTCAAGGTATAGTAAATGGTTCTCCCTTTCTCTCTCCCTCTCTCTCTTTCTTTTGAAGGAGAGCAGCCCCCTCAACTTTAAGCAACTTGTCTCCCGGCAACTTGATTATTTTGAAGTGCCCAACCCTATTCCCCCTCCCCCTCTGGTTTACTGGGATAGAAGATTAAAGAAAGGATAAAAGTAAGCTTCTTTTTTTAATATAGCAAAGCACCCATGTTTGCCAAGTCATGCCAGGAAGGTCCTTGCACACAAGCCGGTCAAGTTATATGCTCAAGATTGTTTACCGAGCGGCTTCAGGATGCTTGCTGCATGCTGGCAGCCTGAGTTGTCTCAGGGCAGTATCATTTGAGAAGAGAGTCTGATGAGCTAAATCATCTTGACCGGCAGATACCAGTTCCTTGTTGATAGTTTTGTGCAGTTCACCAACATAACTTGTAATTCCATTGATTCAGTTAAGGCTCTGTGGTAAGTTTTCCCAGCTCTTTCGCATTGACACGCTCACGTTGCAGACATTCCTCTTATGAATGGTTGAAAGGTATTTAGACGCAGCTAAACTACAAAAAAGTGTGATGGCAGCAGAGTTTCCATAAATCAGTTATAGAATTGTGAAGATTGGACGACTCCTGTGATTCAGGTGCTCAAACTGCACAGGCTGCCTCTTCTGAGACAGTTCAAGTCCCTCTGTCCGTTCTTCTGTTTCAGCCTTTTTTTAGACTGGTGACAGAGCCATAGTAGGTGGCTTAGAGAGCCTCTTGCTGTTATGTTTCTGAGAGATTCGGGTTTGTTTGCAGCCTGTATCCTGTTTTTAAAGTATTCATGTCAGGCTTAATTCCTGAAAGCACAGAGGGCTCCAATCCTAGTAGGGGGTGAGATGTGCATGTACGTTGCGTGTCCTGCACCTCTTCCCCCCTTGTAGGTAAATCAGATTTTCACATTTTTAGCACGAAAGTCAGCATAAATGCTTATATACATATTCCTGCTGAGGCCCTGGCCCCAATCACCCAGACATGACTACAGGTGCCTCTGTAAGTTGGAACATTGGGGGCTGAGTTCATATACATCTCCATGTCTCTACTATCCTTTTAGTCCTTAACATTTCCAAGCACATTGTTTGAATAGGGCTATGGAGAGGCAGAGCAGTATTTCAAGGAGCGGGGACTAGCATTTAGGCTGTACCTGGCAGGAAAAGGTGGGAGAGTGAGGCATGGAGGTGGTTAAATAGCTGCTACTATTTCCAAGCCATGCCATAAATAGCCCCTACTTTCCATCATTTTCCACCAGGACAGCAATAAATATATTCTGTCATTACTACTATTTTTGTTTTTAATTTCTTAATACTTCCATCAAGTAAATTTGACCTGAGTAAGCGAGCTGGGTGTTGGCTCTAAGAAAGAAGAATAAGCAGAACAGGCAAATAATCTAATTGAGGCTATTGGTTTTATAAAATAAATTCCTAGATTCCTATCTCTTTACAAAAAAATAATTAAAATAAATTAAAAGGCCTGTTTTACTTATTATTTTGCAATACAATCGATGAGGGACCTTGCATCTTTTCTCATGGTTTTAACCAGAAGCCACTTGAATCTTTGATGAATAGGAGATATTGCAAGATTTTTAACTTAATTAGTTGTATTTAACTTGAGTCTGTTCCTTCCTCTCCTCCCCCCCACCCCCCAATTTTAAGATGTCCTGAAGACGCAACTGCTGGCTTCCCATTTGGTTCCTATCAGTAGTCCTTTTTGCTCTGTTGCAGATAAACGGAACAGTCACGGAAAATATGTCATTGACAGATGCCAAGACCCTGATAGAAAGGTCAAAGGGCAAGTTGAAGATGGTGGTTCAAAGGGATGAGCGAGCAACTTTGCTGAATGTTCCAGACCTTTCTGATAGCATTCACTCAGCCAATGCTTCAGAAAGAGATGGTGAGTATTGGTTTATTCGCTTGCTTCCACAAGCTAGAAATACAGCTGTCCTCTCCCAATGCCACGAAGATGTGAAATGTTAAGGGTAACAAGGGTGGGTTTTAGGTTATATCAGACAAGGGAGGTGGGGGTGGAGTTTGGGCCTGATGCAAACATTTGTTCACTGGAATTTCACACCTTTTGAGTTTAGCTGCAGTTTTGCACTATCCACAGGTAGTATGATGGAGTCCTGCAGGTAATTTGTTTTGATTTTGCCTGAAATTTTTTTTATTTTTATTTTTTAAAGTATAGACAGTCTCAGTACACTTCAAGTTCTGCAGAAGCTTATATCCATTTTGGGCAGGTCATGTCATCATTTTAATTCTAAATCATCTCATGAAAAAACCCAACTTTTATTTAACAGACATTTCAGAAATTCAGTCGCTGGCATCTGATCATTCCAACCGATCCCATGACAGGCCCCGCCGCAGTCGTTCACGATCTCCTGACCAGAGGTCAGAGCCTTCAGACCATTCCAGACATTCTCCACAGCAGCCCAGCAATGGCAGGTGATGGTAGCCTTGTATTTTTTTTTTTTTAAAAAAACAGACTCGTTGAAAACTTAATTGTAGACTGGTTGCTTGGATAGGGTATGCCGTAGCACAGTGGGTGGACCCACAGCCCAGTCATTGCATGCAGTAGTTATTTGTCAAATGACGCAGACACAACAGACCTGAGCAGTGTTGAAATGATTGCGCTTGGTGTGTGACCTCTGACCCAAGTGAGGTGTAGCCCCTGGTGAGACACAGCAGTTTTCTACCTAGCAGAACAGAAATCACACAGTCTCCCAGTTCTTTGTGTGCACACCAAGCAGAATAATGTCCTAGAGCACCAAATTGATTTGTACTTCTGACATGGAGTTAGGGAGCTGTTAACCCGTGGGCATTCCCTGTATTGAAGGTAGAGATGGACGTCTCACAAGGATTCTTGGTTCTGGGCCAGGCAAGATCAGTATCTGGTCTGATTAGGTTAGTTATACCTCAACCCAAAATTACAGACCACTGCTCCTCTTGAGTTTAGAAATGGAAGGCTTCTCAGTTTCTGTGGTGTAGAAATTGAGTCGCAGAAGCTGGTTCTACTTCTTTTGCACAGAAAACAAGATTGTGTGCCTCAGTTATGTCCTCACAGAGTGCTTGCTTTTTTTCTTTTTATATTTCAGTCCAAACACTTCAACCACCAACAATGTCTTGCAAATAATTACCAGGGAGAGAGAGTGATAGCTACTGTACTATATAAAGTTGTTAACTGAAATAATTTATATAACAACTATTAAAAGTTGTTAACTGAAATATTTCTGGAGGGTTTCTCTATTAGTCTCCTGAAAACTAGTCAGATGACATTATGATCTGGCTTGTATGTACGAGCACTGAGCTATGTATCCTTACTTCATGAGCCATGGTATGGCCAAGGAGTGTGCATCCAGTTTTACTCTTGGGTTTGCTGATCCTCAAGTAAATGATGCCTGTGAAAGGGTGATGATGTCAGTGGCGGGGGAAAATTTTTGGTAATGTAAGGCTTCCATACAGTTTTTCATCAGTACTCCCTTTCACAGGGGAAGCCATGGAAGCAACAGGACAGAAGGAGTAAGTCTTTAATTACAGTCACTGTCCCCTGACTCCCCCATATATCACACGAGAGGATTTCTGCCATTATAACCCTGGCTTACTCCCTGATTTAAATCTAACTTCAACTTCTGTGAAGAGAGGAGTGAAGAATCAGTTAAGGGGCCGAGTATGGGTGCACGAGGCATGTTGGCATGTTATGGCAGTTTGCATGTTGTGGTGATATAGTACACACTGTTGAGATTCTAGAGTGCTAGAAACCGCTTATGTGAAAGGTGGGCATTTTACATTATCATTATATTCAATCTAGAAATGTCAAAAGTTTGATATTAGTTTATTGTGGATATGTGTTCAAGTGGAAACAAGCTGCTTTGTGGACTGTATTGGTTAAATGGAGAAGTAAGAATTGGTTGAGATGTCCTTTGAAACTTATTATTTTGGAGTGATGCATAAACCTGCTTCAGATGGAATATCAAGGTACAGTTTAGTGTTATATTAATGAGCCTTTGTCTCATTTTTCCCCACTCCACCTCTTCTTGCTTCCATTTTCAGTGAGTTGTGATATTCAGAGTTGTGAAATGGTAGTTAGCCTTAGCTACAGCCTAAGGAAACTAGTCAGGATTGTGAATTTTTGCCCCAGATTGGGGGAAGGAACATATGATCCTTTCAGGGTCACTGAATTGCAAGTGTCCTTATTCCAGTGGTAGAATAAACAGTCGTGTAAGGCAGTGGTTCCCAATCGTGGGTCCCCAGATGTTCTTGGACTACAACTCCCACAGTTCCTGGCCAGTGCAGCTGGTGGTAAAGGTTTCCTGAAGTGTTAGTCCAGGAATATCTGGGAATCCAAGATTAGGACCCACTGGTGTAAAATGATGGAAATGGCTGCCCAACCACATGTGGAGGCCACACTTTTCTTTTGTCTGCCCTGAACTGCAGTTATGACTAATGGCAATTTGCCATCATTAAGGTACCCTTGTTGTTTAATAGCAGTCTGTGGAAAACAGACACATTCATCTTGAACTGGGCCTTTCCAGAAGGGTGCCAACTTTTGATGATAGTCCCCATGGCCCCTGCTGTTTCCCTGCAAAAGGTGTTCATCCCTCACCTAGCTCCTTAACCATAGTTTGCATTGATAGGGTTTAGCTGCCTAAATTTTAACCCAGTATTGATTTGTATAGATATTGATTGTGGCAAGTTTTTGCTAATTGGTTAGATTACAGAACTGTATTTTTGTGCTCCTGTTGTTTTTTTAATGCTGTAACTTCTGTTTTGATTCGTTGGTGTTTTTGATTGATTTTTTAAAAATGTTTTTGATTGATTTTAAGTTGCAAGTTGTTTTTGGAAGAAAAGCGAGAGATAAAATTACACTAGTGATCAACCTTTTTTTAAAAAAAATCTTCACCTGTCTGGTTATTTGCAAAACTCTTTTTTGTTCTCCACTTGTTAATTCCCAATGTCAAGAATAACAAAGAAGATAAAACTTGGCGAAAATAAAATCCAAATGCAAATATAGGTGATATCTTTGCAGACCACACAAAAAAAACCCCCATCATATAATAAATGAGCTTTTGTGGATAAAACACCACTTCATCAGGTTTGCACCAGTGTGAAGAACCTAAAGTTCAAAACCAAAATGTCTAAACATACATGGCAAGATGGGTTTTGGCAGAAAAGTTGCTCTTAGATGTTAAGTCAGCACTTCTTATCAAAATGGGTTTGGCCAGGCTTGTCTCTTAAATGTAAGTCAGGAGTCTGGTTTCTGTTTTATAGTTACAGCTTAGGCAGCTGTAGAATGAGTTGATCAACCCTGTTCTCCAAATAAAGAAACACGGGTGTGTGTACCCACACCTCTTGGCTTGGAGAAAGAATATTGGGCTACTTATATCTTTCTCTGATTCAATCTTTCTCTGTTTATTTAGTTAGTGCATTTCTTAGCTGTTCTTGAAGGCAGGTTAGAATTTCATACTACCATGAATGAACTTAAACGCTAAATTTACCCTTCGCCCCACCACCCCCAAAGCTCAGATGACTAGGGTTACTTTGTTGTTCTGTTTTTACTTTGTTAATCTAATCCCCAAATAACAGTTTCATTCACCAAAGGACAGTGTTGCCATTGAACTGAACTGCCGACACAGTCACTAAAGCCAACTCTTGAATGGCAAAATGGGAATCTAATTATATTGTCCATGTTTCCTGGGGGGGCAGGAAAGGGGGGGATACAAAGCGGGGCCGCTACCAAAAGGCCCTGATTCGACTACTTGCTGGCCTTCTAGATCTTAATGGAAAATGTACTATCAGCTAAGGCAGCTGGTACAAAATCTGGGTAGCTTGATCAGACTTCAGATGCATGCCATTTCTGAAGCAATATCGGCAGGATGATTTTTCTTTCTTTCTTGGAAGAGAACATAAACATTTTATGAAAAAAGAGTGGAGAATATACAGATATAGACATACAGAACAAGCTTTATTGCTTAAAACATAGGATGTCACAATGTAAGAAGTTGGAGGCTTCCCCCCACTAAATTCTCCTCGGGTTGCAAATTTTTCTGCTGAAAAATACGAAAGCTTGTGTGTGGGGGGGGGGTACAGTAGAAAACTAATCTGAGTCCTCACATCTCTTGTACCGGTGAAGACGTGTGCAGCTGTATCAAACCGTCTTTAAAGGCAGCGGCACTCCATTTGGGAGAGCCGTCCCTTTTTGTGACATTGCATCTATAGTCGTTGCCTCGTGAGTCCGAAAAAGTGACGGGCAAGGTTTCTCACAGATATTAATTCTTTCTGAAAGAAGCAGAAAGTGTTCTTGTGGGAAGGTCTGAAAGGTCTGTCAATGTCTTAGCACACTGAAAGCCGCCGAGAAAGGTAAAATGGTGTGTTGTATGGAGGATGTATGCATGGGTTGATGGACAGTCCGGAAATTTGGTAAGAGATGAGCTGCCGGTGATGAAACAAACATGAAGCTGACTTCACTTTTTTGTGACTGAAGGTTATTTTAAAATATTGCGGCGTTAAGCATCCTTTAAAAAAAAAAAAAGAGGCCTTCCTGACACAGCACAGATGTTAGAAGTAAAAGCAGTACTGCCAGAACACATACACAGCGAAATAACACCTTTGATGACTCATGGGGAATGCGGCTGAAATTTTTAACAACGTTCTGTCACCTAGGAACAATGACAGTGTCAAGACACGTCCTGTATAATCTTAAAAACAGTGAAAATTGAAGGCTTACTAGAAAGTTCAAAAATGCAGATGCGCAGGGAACATTGCCTTTTTTCTATTTGTCTCTAAGCTTCAGCGTTAATTTAGGTTTAGAAAGGAGGAATTTGTGCTTCAGTGCTTTAAGGCATCACTTAAACATTGACTAACTTCAGGGCAACAAGCAAATGTGCAAGCAACTCAAATCTAAGTGACTTGGCAGCTGATGCTTGATATCCTGAAACCTGAGAAATGCTTTGTGTCCCTCCCACTTAGTTGTCAGCTTTTTAAAACCATGAGTCCTGCTTCTGATGTTGTTATTTTTCCTCTGCATGTCCAGCTTTTTCCTCTTAAGGGTAGCTGGATGAAAAAGAGGGACTTGGGCTCCTCTGTATTATCAGATGCTCCAAAGAGAGAATTTGGCAGAATCACTGAAGCCATTGGCTTGAGCCCCACCTTAGGTTTGTATGTGATGCAGAGTGAGATGGGATTCCCCCCTCCTTGGGTCAAAAGACCATTGTTCTAGATTTCAGTCTTTGAATCAACAGATATTTTGGATGTTCCAGAATCCCTGAGCATCCTGGCTGGAACTTCAGGAAGTGGAAATTCAACATACTGTATTTTTCCATGTATAAGACTATACTTTCGTCTAAAATCTTTAGATTAAAAATTGAGGGTCGTCTTATACATGGAAGTAAGCTGAGAAAAGAACAAAAATAAGTGGAGGGAAAAGAAGGATCAAAGTGATCCTGCAGGGCTTTTCCCTCCACTTGCTAAGCCCCATTTAGATTTCTTAATTTTGGGTTAGAAAAGTGGGGGGCATCTTATACATGGGGGCTGTCTTATACACTGAAAAATACGGTATCTGAAAGTCCAATGGTTTTGATTCACCATCTACAGTGGGGTCTTGACTTACGAACTTAATCCGTATTGGAAGGTAGTTCTCAGGTCGAAAAGTTCTTAAGTCAAATCTGCATTTCCCATAGGACTGATTCACCATCTAGATCAAAAGAATCCTCCATGATAATTTTTATAAATGGAGCAGTAGCCAAGTAGCCGTGTGTACTGGAATCAGAGGAGCAGGAGCTTGTTCCTCTGACTTTGGAGAACCAACCCCCAGTCAGAAAAGAGAGCAGTGAACTAGACAGACAAATTACATGATTCAGTTTTCTGGTTTTTTTAAAAAAATTCGGCTGTGGTCATATAATTATATGACTGGCTTGAAGAGAGAATGGAAGCCCGGGTTGTCTTTTGAATGTCATCTCTCTTCAGATATTTGGCTGCAACTATATTCTCTTCTGGAACCCTGCTGCCAAAAATAGGGCTCTATGTAATTGCTTCCCTGGTCATTCCGTGTTACAAAATACAATATTGTCATGATGATGTTGTAGCGCATGTTTCCCTGTTTCACTGGCAGCAGAAAAAAACACAGCAGGATGATTGCTGCATATCAATTTTATTTCATGGCATCATGTTTTTTAAAGAATTAATTTTTACTCTCTACAATGTCCTGAAATCTCATGTGCTTAAGGGTAGTATAGAAGTGATTTAATTAAACAAAGAAGGAAACAAGCAGTGCGTCGGGATTTCTTTTAGTTGAGCGACACATTAAGAAGAGAGCAAACCATCAGATTATGGTTTTTATGTCCCCTTTAGATTCTCCTTTCCCTCTGTTCTGCCAGTAACACTTTCGTCTTGAAGGAGCTCTACACTAGCATTGTTTTAGAATTCCAGAAATCAGCTAGTGTGACGTACCTTTTTCTCAGTCAGTGTGCAAATGGACAAGTTGGCCACGTACTAACACTACCCCCAAAATAATTGGAGCTTATTGTCATTCCTTGGCTTTATGGTTCTGTCCCTCTCTTTTGAAAAGGTAATTCATAGAAGTGCTAATTCAAGTGTGCACGTTGCACATGATACTTATGCAGTTACCAAGGCTATGGTGCCATCTGTCGGTGGAAAACTGGTTTATCGTATTGAAAGAAAGTATTGTCTTTCTTTTGAGGAGGTGTATTAGTTGTTTGCTGGGAAAGTGTGTTGGGAAAGTGTGAAGGCAAGAGGAGAAGGGGACGACAGAGGATGAGATGGTTGGACAGTGTCACCGAAGCGACCAACATGAATTTGACCCAACTCCAGGAGGCAGTGGAAGACAGAAGGGCCTGGCGTGCTCTCTTCCATGGGGTCACGAAGAGTCAGACACAACTAAACAACAACAACAACTTCGCAAAAGGCTCTTACTGTAGCAAAGCAGAGTTTAGAAAGGGTTTTCTGGTTTTTGCTTTAGCTCAGAATGCCAAATGTCCTCTTTTCTACACCAGAGCTGAAATAGGTCAAGTCTACGTACTGATAAATATATCTTGCTACTCTTACACTAAAAACAAGTATTAGCCATACTGGGGGTAGGAAGAGGACAGCTGTAGGAAACATTCTGTTTTTGTATTTCATTCTGCACCCTTTCCAGTGATTATATATAAGGGATCCAGGGCTATATATAAGGTGACTCTTCCCTTTGCCCAGTTTTTAATGGCAGGGCTCCCTCAAGGCCATCCAGTGAGTCGCACGGCTGTGTAAGGCTTTGAACCGACATCTTAGGGACTTTCTCTCAACTGCATGAAAAAATAATTTGATCCTGATTTTTAGGAAGGAGGCTGCGGCTCCGAGCCTTTGTCCTTGCATCTTTTGTCTTTGTGTGTGTGTGTGTGTGCTTGTGTCGTTCAGCATTGCATCTGTAAAATGTCCAGTACAGATTCATGGATTTTGTATGGCATTTGCATGGGGCAGAGTCAGGTAGTGTAGATTCTGGGAACCTCTCACTGGCTCTTTACGGCCATTCTGTTCTGTATTCCCTAGAGCAAAAGTGGGTAAGATCTGTAGTGGATGATGCTTGTACCTCTGGAAGGATTAGTCCCAGAAGTCTTTTCCCAAACCATGTTAGACTTTTTTCAGGAAAAACTCCAGAGTATGTCACCCGTCACTAGTTGGGTGCTAGGATTGGAGTACTGAGGTCCCTTTGTGGTTCTGAAAGTGTTAAATTTCTTCATCAGAATGATTGGTTCTGTTTCTAAATGAAATTTTGTTTTTCTCAATTTTAGTCACCGAAGTAGAGATGAGGAAAGAATAGCAAAGCCAGGTGCAGTTTCTACGCCTGTGAAGAACACAGAGGAACTCCCCGTTTCGAAATCAGTGGAAGAATCTGTGACGGAGAGAAGTGATAAACAGATCCCACCCCTTCCAGGTAAGGATAAGACATCACCTGAATAAAGCACTTCTCATTGATGACTTGCATGCATTTTAACAAACAGGTAAATTAAATCTACGTATGATTCAGAAGCCAAAAACAAACCTGAGGATTAACTTAGAAAACTGGAGGACTAGCTTAGAGAAGGAGAGAAAATCTTTTGCACAGTGGTGTTTATTTCTCCTGTCTTTTTTTAAAAAAGAAATGAATAAGGCCCCCACTCATACCGAAAGTTATAAAATTAATTTAAGCTAACTAAATAAATGTTGCAGCCTTTTTTAGGTGTACATGTGTCATGTGCAAGACACGCACTACAGTATTTGCGGCTGTTTCTAAGTGCATACTTCCTACGCCACAGGATTCAGCTCTGATAAGAGCACCAGTGGACAAATTGTACTCCGCAAATTGGAGCTGAGGCGCCAATCCTTTGGCCATCTCATGAGAAGAGAAGACTCCCTGGAAAAGACCCTGAGGTTGGGAAAGAGTGAAGGCAAGAGGAGAAGGGGACGACAGAGGACGAGATGGTTGGACAGGGTCACCGAAGTGACCAACATGAATCTGACCCAACTCCGGGAGGCAGTGGAAAACAGGAGGGCTAGGCGTGCTCTGGTCCATGAGATCACGAAGGGTCGGACACAACTTAACGACTAAACAATAACAACAACTCCACAAAAGGCTCTTACTGTAGCAAAGTAGAGTTTAGGAATGGTTTTCTGGTTTTTGCTTTAGCTCAAAATGCCAAATGCCCTCTTTTCTGCACCGGAGCTGGAATAGGTCAAAATTCTCATAGAAAAGAGGTCCGACCAGTTGCTTCTCTTTAACTGCTGTTGTTCAAGTGAGCATCTATGAATTCACACATACCACCCTCCTGCCCCCCCCCAAGTTCTACACATTTATTCTCTTCAATGGATGGAACTGAGGACTGCCAATCAGGGTGCACCTTTATATGCACAAGGGTAGGTACATAAAGGATGGAGTTACTGCCCAAAACTTGGCTAGGGAATGTTCCAGAACACGGCTGTGCATGTGCACAAAACTATTTTTGTGAATTGACAGATGACCCTTCAAAGAACGACAGTTAATGGGAAGCAAGCAGTGATTCTCTATTTTTTTCTTTGTCATTTTTTTCAGAACCAAAGCCAGTCTATGCTCAGGCAGGTCAGCCAGATGTAGATTTACCTGTCAGTCCATCTGATGGCCCATTACCAAACTCAACTCATGAAGATGGAATGCTTCGGTAAGTTTTCGGGAACTCCTCTGGAACATAAGACTGGTTTCTTCCCCTCCCATAGCTTCATCTCTTTCCCTATATTTGTGCAACTTTAAGAAATTGTGTATCCACCACTGGTGAATTCAGGCATGCTGGAATTTGATAGCATGACATATTTCTTGACCCAAATGCAAGCTGGGAAATCTGGGGGACCTCTCTCCCTCTCAAGTACAGAGGGATCATCAATATTGCACTTAGCTACAAATGTGGAAGCCCCAAAGCTGCTATGATTCCTGGAAAACTGTTCCTTTTGACATAATGTCTGTGTCTTAGTTAAAAGTAATTCCATGTATTTTGCCTGGGGTGGGCAATTTTTAACGGTCTAAGATCTTAGAGGAGATCTTATCTCTGGGATCTTAGAGGGCATCCCAATTTTTTAAAGAGACCCCTTGCATCACCCAGTATCATGAGTGCTCCTTGTCTGTCACTCAGAAAAGCCTTCTCATGCCCTCTTCTTGTGTGATGGGGGAATAGCAGTTTTGCCCATTTTTTTCTTCCATCTGAAAATGTGAGAAAATGTTATGTATTCATAAGCACCGCATAACGTAGTTTAAAAATATTTTCTTAACCTTTTGCAGGCCAAGCATGAAGCTTGTAAAATTCAAAAAGGGAGACAGCGTGGGCTTGCGGCTGGCTGGAGGTAATGACGTTGGCATCTTTGTGGCCGGTGTTCTAGAAGATAGCCCTGCTGCTAAAGAAGGCTTGGAAGAAGGAGATCAGATTCTCAGGGTAGGTTTCCGGAGGGATGTCTTGCAGTGTGTCTCAGCAGATGTCATCCCAAGAGGAGACTTAGGGCACCTTTAAAGACCAACGAGTTTCATCAGGCTTAAGCTTTTGTGGACAGCCGTCTGCTTGCATCTGAAGAGCTGGCCTGCTGTCCCCAAAAGATTAAGCCCAATGAAAGTTGTTGGTCTTTTTGGTGCCACATGCAGGCAGGTAGCCATTTTTTTAAAAACATGGTGGAGAAAATTGCCATAAGAGGGGCAATGGGAGCAATGGGGCGGCAGTAGCAAATGTTACAGTTCTTTTTCTGTTCATGCGAAGAGGGCAGCATCCTGTATGTACGGTGCCACCTCATGCTTGGATGCTGTGAACGGCTCTTGACAGATCCATGGAAAAGTTGTCTTTGAATCCATCTGGATGATGTTACACTGCTAGACCTTCACAATTACCTTTTTAGTTCTCTTACATTTAGTTTTGTCTTTGAATAAATTCATTCATTAGTTTAATACTGAAAAACAGGGAAGAAAGAATTGTGATTTTAATTACTTTTATAGCTATACCATTATTGGTGCCATTCTTCCTTGGTTAGAATGCAATCCAAAGTGTGTTTGGGCCCCTGGTAGTCCAGTGAGACACATTCTCTAATGACTGCATATTTGGATTGCATCCCAGGTATCAATAAAATAGACGCAAGGTTGATTCATATGGCAAAGGGACGGTGTATTGTTTGACAAATAAGCCATGTTATATAAATAATGATGTAAGTATAGAACATGTATAGATGAGTACTGGGGTTCTCTAAATTGCTTTGTAATTTTTTTTATTTTCTCTTTGTGTGTGTGTGTTTGTTTGTTTGTGTGTGTGTGTGTGTGTATGTTTTTTGGCATAAGGTAAATAATGTAGACTTCACAAATATCATTCGAGAAGAAGCAGTGCTGTTTTTGCTTGACCTCCCTAAAGGAGAGGAAGTAACCATTCTGGCACAGAAGAAAAAGGATGGTAAGTAAACGAAACCACCCCCATTCTTTTGTTTCGAATGGCAGTCAAAACAAGGAAGATGAACTGAGTGCCCTGGAGAGGCATTTGTCCCACCACCTGTTTCAAACCAACAGAGCAGTCTGATGTCGTTTGAATGCTTCGTGTTAGTCCTTACCTGCACAGAACAGCAAGCACTGGCTTACATACGATAGGCCAGTCTGGGATTGTGACTTTCTGAGCTGGAGGAGGAGAGAGCTTTTTTTTAAGTGGTGCTGGAACTGTGGTCCATTTGAGCATCAGACTCATGCCAGTTTTACCTACCTACGGTCAGTCCACCCTGGCTTACCCAGTAGTTACCTGGGTAAGAATGCATGTTTACCCTGTTGGTTTTATACCTGTAGCTTAATGGATTCCAGTTCCTTTTTATCTGTCACCTTACAAAGCAGCTAAGAAGCTGGGTCCTTTTTTTGCCACAGTTAAATGTTCTTAAACCTTGCTGTTTTCCTCTCAAGAGATCCTTGGGATCTCAGGAATAAAGAAAAATTATGCTGTTTTAGCAATAAATATGCCTAGTGCTGTTCAGACTGTAACTGTGTAATACATCATGTTGGCATTTCAAGTTTAAAATTAACTACTGGTAGAAAAAGTTTGTTTATTCTCAAGGCAGCCATTGTTAAAGTCTGCGTTTCTGTTCCATGCCTGCAGTTTACCGGCGCATTGTTGAATCGGATGTGGGAGACTCTTTCTATATTAGAACTCACTTTGAATACGAGAAAGAATCTCCCTACGGACTTAGCTTCAACAAAGGAGAGGTGTTCCGGGTAGTGGATACGTTATACAATGGCAAGCTGGGCTCCTGGTTGGCTATTCGGATTGGCAAGAACCACAAAGAAGTTGAAAGAGGGATTATACCCAACAAAAACAGGTATTTTGGAATCGGCATCAGAACAGCTTTTATTGGGTCAGCCTGCTAAGCTTGTACAGATCTGCCTTGTGTTTTACTACACGGATGAAATCCCTGAAACATAGACTCCTTAGAGAGGAGGGTGAAGTTGAGGATGAAGACTCCTGCAGAGTTGAAGAACAGTTTCTGCTCATGATATTTCAGTGGCCTGAAAAAATGGGTATCGGCCACCTTTCTCTTGGGATCGCATGCAGGGCCACCCAGCTTTTTCTTTCTTTCTTTTTTAGTTTGCTTGTGTATGTGTGTTTGCAGAGTTTAGTCCTCTCAGGGCTGCCTCCCAAAGCACTTTGCAAGGTACAGGGCTGTCTTTTAAGGATCATACCAGCCTCTTGGATTGTGTGAAAATACAACATTAAAAAACTCTGAAAGCACACAGAGCAAGCCTTAAGAACAGTCCTCTGGATTTTAGCAAAGGCCCGTCTTGCTTGGTGTTTTGCTTTCATAGGGGTCAGTTGGTTGGGAAGCCCATCGACAGGACATGCATGATCATCCCTCCTGCTTCTGTTCTCCAGCAATTGCCGTATTGGTGTTGTAATGTTGTCCGATGCCAAAGATAATATATAGCTTTTATGACAAGTAGGCACGAGTAGCCTCATTGCCTGTGAATTTATCTAATCCCTGCATAAATTTGGGGGATTTAGCAGCCCCTCCCTGCATCCTGTGGCAGCAAATTCCACGGTTTAACTAAAAAGGGCGTGATGTCCCTCTTTTCTATCCATCTTGGATCTGCTACCATTCAGCTTTTGTAGATGACTCCAGGCCCTCACATTTTGAGAGAGGAAGAAAAACCTCTTCCTGTAATCTTCGTTGAAGCCATGCTGAATTTTACATGCATCTCTCGTGTCTCCCGCCGCTTTCTTTTTTGTCTAAACCAAACAGCGGCAGATGTTACCCGCTTCTTTCACAGGGAGCAACTCCCATCCTGGGTCATTTTGGTTGCTCCGTCCCGAGCTTCATCATAGTAGGCTTTTTTGCATGTCTTGACCAGAATTGTTTACAGTCTTCCATATGATTACCCTGTGGATCATGGGCACTGTGATATTGGTAGTTTCATGATCAGTTCCTCTTCTACTTGAGAGATATATGAATAGCAGAATGGTTTCAAGTGTTTAAAATGTTTGCTTTGGCTGAAAATGGAAGGTGGGATATTTGGGGTGATAGAGAAAGAATATACATAGGAGAGCTTTAGAGAGACTGCCAGACCAGTCCGTGGTGTCTCCCCAGAACCAATGCCCGTTGTCGTTTTCCTATCTCCTTGTTTTAACACAGAGCTGAGCAACTGGCAAGCGTGCAGTATACACTTCCGAAGACTGCAGGTGGGGACCGTGCCGATTTCTGGAGGTTTCGAGGCTTGCGAAGCTCTAAGAGGAACTTGAGGAAAAGCAGAGAAGACTTGTCCGCCCAACCTGTTCAGACCAAGTTTCCTGCTTACGAAAGGGTGGTTCTTCGAGAAGGTGGGCTCAAGCAAAAGAGACACGTATTTGTGGGTTTGATTTGTGTTGCATCTTTCTGCCACAATGCAGCGTTAAAGGTGTGTAGCAATAAAATCAAACAAAGGAAACCAAATCATGAAATCTTAAGACCAATTAAAAACACGATTAAATCAAAAGGGAATAAACCGCACCCATCCAGTTAAAAATTCCCTCTGTAGTCTTGCCAGCTTAATTCCCCAACGCTTGCCAGACCAAAGATTCTTTCTTACCACACGTGGGAGTTCATTTGGAAGAGAACAGAAAAAAGTGGGAGGCAGGACTCAAAGGCAATGAGAGTGATGGCGGGGGAGGAATCTTCTTGACATTTGTGAGAGGGAGGCAGGAAGGCTGGGCAAGGATTCAGTTTAGGAGATTCCTCATTCTAGTCTTTTAATAAGATGTAAGCCACCATTGTCTACTTATTGTTTTCAGCTTTAAATATTATCTTTCGATGTTGTAAGCCACCTTGGGTCCTTTTTAAGGAGAAAGACGGGGTAAAAATATTTTAAATAAATAAATTGTCCCTTCGGTTTGCTATGGATTAAATATCATTTGATTTCATGTGGACACTCCTTTAAGCGCGAGTGATTGTCAGGGAAACTTGCCCTTACAAATCTGGAGCCCCTGTGCGGTCCTTCTGTAGCTTAGCGCATCTAGCCAGAACTGGAGGGCTTCCATGCTTCTTTTTTCTTCCCTTTCCCAACTTTGTTTTACCATATAGCCGGATGAAGAGATTAGGGAAATAATAATCATATTCGCGATCGTAATCATAAATAAGAAGTGCAGAGCTGAAAGAGACCCTATGGATTATAGAACGCAAAAGCTTGTACACTTGTGAGTGTTTATGGTTGATCTTGATAAAAAGAGATTGGCCGTATTAGATTGTGTTTTTATTTATATTTATAGATCAACTCAGGGGTTTTTTGGCACTTTTTGATGGGAAGACGGTGACTTTTCAGCCGTCAAGAATGGTTCTGATAAAGAAGGCTCATTCTGGTAACCCTTTTAATTCCAGCTGGATTTCTCAGGCCTGTCACGATCTTTGGACCAATTGCGGATGTTGCTCGGGAGAAGCTGGCGAGAGAAGAACCAGATATTTATCAGATTGCAAGTAAGCGTCTCGACTACTTTTTCTTCTCTTATGCTGTCTGTTTAAGAGATGAGGAGGTGTATTGAGGCTCCTAGATAAACAATAGGTGCTTCATATGTGCAGGGTAAACATACCATTAAAAAGACTTTGTGGAAATCTAGGTGCTACTGTAAACATTAGTGCTGATAATATATTGCTGCCTCTTCCTGTCTTGCTTAGTGCTGTCTACTTTGACAGTATCGGAATCTCAGCAAGGGAAGACTTTTCCTGTCAGTTGGTACAAGATACTTTTAACTGGGAGGGGGGCGTTCATTCTGGGAGTTCACATGTTCTAAACGTGTTGTACTAGTTACTGAACAACAGAACAGCAGCCAATAGGTCTGGTTGAAAAACATAGTGGTTTCTCACTCCTTGGACATTATTTGGCTTTAGTTTTTATGGTGGTGATGGCTGCAGGGGAAATATACTACAGTATAGGTTGTTGTGGGTTTTTCAGGCTCTTTGGCCGTGTTCTGAAGGTTGTTCTTCCTAACGTTTCGCCAGTCTCTGTGGCCGGCATCTTCAGAGGACAGCACTCTGGCAAAAGCCTTTGTGAATACATTGAAATATACATTTGTGTGGTTTTTCAATGAACCTGTTTGGTTTCTCTATTGGTTAACAAACAGTGTGTTCCTAAAACAGAGAGCTTAAGCCTTTCTGACTTTCTCAGGAAATAAGTGTTCTGAAGAGTGGTCTTAAAAATCTTTGCAGACCTCCAGAGAGTATTTCAAAGAAGAAATAAAGTGTCTTGTTGCATGAGGGAAAATGCTGTATATAATTGATCCATGATTACATTCAACTACTTTCTCTTTAACAGAAAGTGAACCAAGAGATGCTGGTACAGACCAGCGTAGTTCGGGCATTATTCGGCTTCACACAATAAAACAGATAATTGACAAAGTAAGTGATTAAATCTTTTGTTTTTCCCTTGACTAACTTGGTTAACTTGAGACACATTGGCACCCTTAGGACATGGCCCTTGTGATGTGTGAGCTGTTCTTCTGTGGTTTCATTCCTACACTGTAGGATCAGTCACAGTGATTCCTGCCCAGGAATGCTACATTTGACGTTTCAGTAATTACATGATAGGGATCGATGGAATTGTTCAGGTCCCTAGAATGCTGAGCCTATTAACAGGGCTTCAGTCGCAGATAGTGAATGCGCATAGGAAACAGTCTGATAATGATCCAGATTCTTAATGTATCTCAAGATTCTTATAGTGGGCAGACTGTCCGTAGCTTTCCCGTGTGTTAGCAGGAGGAAAGGTGTTTCTGCCAGGAAGTGAACCTTAATTTTTGAATAACCTGACGTATCTAGTCATTTCCCTTTTCCTGTGCTCCTGCTCTTTAGGACAAGCATGCTCTACTAGATGTCACTCCCAATGCAGTAGACCGCCTGAATTACGCACAGTGGTATCCCATCGTGGTGTTTTTGAACCCTGACTCAAAACAGGGTGTAAAGACCATGAGGATGAGGTTGTGTCCAGAATCCCGGAAAAGTGCCCGAAAACTGTATGAGAGAGCCCACAAGCTGCGGAAAAACAATCACCACCTTTTTACAGGTGAGTGCATTGAGAGAGGAAAAATCTGAGGCATGGTATGATGAAAAAAAAATCCTGTACAGAGAACCTTGCGCAGGGAATTAATGTGTATATTACTACAGAAAAGGTGGCAGGAGGAGTTCCTTGTTCCTTGTACAAGATCTGAAGGCTGGGGTTGATGATACATTTATTACACTTTTAAAAAACCACACACGCAAACACAAGCTAGCTTCATTGGGCTGAGCACCACAGTGACACAGAAGTTACATAAAAGGTCTATACAGTGGGGTCTTGACTTGAGAACTTAATCCGTATTGGAAGGCGGTTCTCAAGTCAAAAAGTCCATTGACCTACAGTGCATTGAAAACCGATTAATCCCGTAATACATAAAAGGTCTATAATCAATCCAGATGTGCATGCTGAGTCTCTTATGTTTATGGTAAGCTTTGAAGTTTGTATTTCTGCTTATTTGCTACAAGCAGCTGACTATATATAGTACACACGTGTTAATGGAAGGTTTATTTCACTTGCTCAGTGTTAATGCAGATTTGTCATATATCTTATTTATTTGTTGCCATGTAAGCAAGATGGAAGTGTCTAAATTTTTGTTAAACATTGTATTGGTTGATAATCTGGGTGGTGGCTGCTCAAAACTAGTCCCTCTCAATTAATATCCACCTCAGTTACCTCTAGCCAGTTTGCCCACCTCTCTACCCCATTAGATGCCTGTTTTCCTCCTTTGCGTCTGCAGCCAACATACAGAGAGCAAGGCTAGTGGATTCCTGTGCCGAGCGGATGGAGGCTGACGTGCTTTCTCACAAGCAGAATCAGCACACAAAGAACTGTTCCCACCTATGGCTTGAAATGTAGCGATTAGAAGCACTTGGGTTCAAACCCAACCGAATGAAAATCCCTGCTTGACCAGTTGTGCCTGGATCATATTGGTACACAGGATGTTGTGCAAAACCTGTGTGGGGCCTCACCCTTGACCAACCTGGAGGCAGTGCTGTGACTAGTGCAAGCAGGTCTTCTCAGGTGCAATGACACAGGTCATCTCCCTTTTTACTGGTATACTGTCTTATGGTGAGACCCAAACAGAAATCCATACAACAGCCGCCTTTTAATGTCCAGTTAGTAAAACACAGTATTAAAACCATGATCTGAAAGGTCTGGAAAGTGAAAGAGAGCTTCACCTGACTGTACTCCTCAAAAGCACTATCACGTTACCTATTTTTGTTTTTAGCAACTATTAACTTGAATTCAATGAACGATGGGTGGTATGGCGCTCTTAAGGAAGCAATCCAGCAGCAGCAGAACCAGTTAGTGTGGGTCTCGGAAGGAAAGGTATGGAGTTTTAATTTTTCATTCAGTTTCGATGACCCTGCTTGCAGTCGTGGGACCTACTGGTGACATTGGAACAGGCATCCTTATTATTGTGGGTAGATGGCTTTGAAGGAATTGTGGGAATAATTTGGAATGAGAATCCCTCTGCTCACATACTTTTCAGCTCTCATTGCAGTGCGACCTATATCCTGCTGTTCTCAGCCACGTGTAGAGGGGAACATTTGGTCAGGGCTGGGGAAAGTTCCATTTTTTGGACTACCAAAGTCCAGCATTCCCCTACCAACATTAATCTGAAAAAGAAACGTTTCCAAGCTCAGAATACTAATACACCTGCAGAGACTTCCCTTTGAAAACAGACAGTGACGAGATGAATCCCTCTGCACAGAGGTGACGGTGAGGAGAAAGGGTTGCCTCTGTTGAGAAGCCTCACCTGTCCAAAGTATAAAGTTGCACCGCGATTGATTTCGCCTCAGCCAGGCACCTTGCCGAAGACTGGCACTTACTTGCGACACTATTTGACCTGGCAGTAGCTGTATCATATGACCCCCTCCCTCTCCCCCCAGTTTCCTGCCTCCCGCCTGCTCTGCCACTGCAGGAAAAACAAGTGTTTCACTAGCTTCTATAGATTATGTAAGGCCTTTTTTTTGTCCCCTTTTTGGGTGGCTGTTATATATTGAACTGACATTTTCAGGGCAACAGTTCATTGTAATTCAGAGATCTGTCTCAAGAAGTAAGAGCTGATTCACAATCCAGTTGGTGTGACTATAGCTGGAGTGGCTTGTCTTTCCAGGATTCATTTACTGCATGCATTTATTGGCTTTTGATGTCACTGGTTTAGAAATTCTGAATAACTTTGGGAGTGCACGTCGTGTGGCTCTCAGAGACTCGGAAGTGCAGAGCGAGGAAACCCTGACCCGCTTGCAGGTCTTGCCCTGCTTTCAAGCGGTCAGCTTTGCCAAGGAAAGGTGCGCAGGGCAAACAACAACAGCAACAACAAAAATCCCGACCAAGCTTGGCTTTCACACCTGGGTCCAGGGTGATGGATGATTCCCTGCAGCTTCTGCTGCTCTATGAAAGGAAACAAAGAAGGGAGAACAATTTATTCTAATTAGACTACCAATGCTTATATTGTGCCCAGGACAACAGCCCATGAATTATTGCCTTTCCCCTACATCATGACTCTTTGAACAGGGAAAGCAGGCACAGAAAACACTGTAAAGTCAGCCCTGCCTTCCTGCAACTAGCAAGAGAGAGGAGGAAGGTGGCCTGATAACCGGGGGGGGGCACCTGTTCCCATGCCACCCTGAATTCCCCTGATCCCACTCAATTTTGGAAACTAAACAGCAAGAGTGGGCCTTGCTAGTTCTTGGGTGAGAATACTAGTGACTCTTAGGGAGGGTGGAAGGAGTCTGACCTGAAACTCTGGAGAGGTGTAGCTGCCTTTGAGGGTTGACCATACTGGACTAGGTGGATGAAAGGTCCTCCTCCGTAGGAGGCACTTCCCTATGTTCCTGTCAGGAGAGAGCCAGGAAATCGGTTGAACATGGCCTCTTTTTGCTTCTGAAGCTTACATTCCATCACTGATCTCCAGCCCCTTCCAGGGATACGTGGAACCAGTTCTCTAAATGCAGATGCCATTTTAGCCTCAGTTCCACACCAGGAGACACTGTTTTAGCATTGTGTGGCCGTTCTCGTTTCCCTATGAACATCTGACTCTGATGTGTTCGACACAGGCAGATGGTGCTACCAGTGACGACCTTGACCTGCACGATGACCGCCTGTCTTACCTGTCGGCTCCTGGCAGCGAGTACTCCATGTACAGTACAGATAGCAGGCACACCTCGGACTACGAGGACACCGACACGGAAGGGGGGGCCTACACCGATCAAGAGCTGGACGAGACGCTCAACGATGAAGTGGGGACCCCACCCGAGTCAGCCATTACGCGGTCCTCTGAACCTGTGAGAGAAGACTCCTCAGGGGTGCATCACGAGAATCAAACATATCCTCCTTATGCGGCGCAGGCCCAACCTCAGCCAAATCACAGGATAGAGTCCCCCGGGTTTAAGCCAAGCGCTGCTCAGCCGGTAAGTTTCAGAAACCAAGATTGGAAAGTTGTGTGCGCGTGCACACCTAGGCACACAGAGCACAAGTTTATCTTCGCTTCCTTGAATTTAAGGTGAAACCGAGAGGCCAAGTGGGAGCATCTCAGTATTCCTGTTTAATTGCAATTTATCTAGATGGATTTACCATTGAGTGAATCCTTGACAGAGTCCACTGGGATGGCTTAGATATGTTGACCTTCCCCTTCCCCCCACCCACCCCCCATATCCATGAGTTTTGTAGGCTGTCCAAAGGAAAGAATGTGATTCTTCCTTTCCTTTCCTTTAATTCAGGGGTGGTATCATGGATTAGCACTGTGGGGCAGTTTGTGTGGCCTTCAGCCCCATGTGAGTGGGGGCACCACTGCTGTCCCCCTGCCCTTCCCTTTTGTTGTTGCACAGGTGTGCAAGAAAAGAGCAAGGAGTTTGTGCTCTCTGCTTGTCTTGCCTTCTGGTTTTGGCAAAAAAAATATAAATAAATGAAAGAGTCACCTGATGAGCAGTGGTGGTAGTTGCGAGGAAGTAGACTCACCGAGAACACTTTCCCAAAGCACTTACTTTCTTGTCTTCTCCCAACACCCCAAATCTTCCGACAGTTTTGCGAAGCCTTCCATCAACCTGCTCTGTTTTTATACATGGACTATCAAATAGAAGGCGGTATTCTTTTTCAACCTTGTTTTCATCCACCCGGTTGTCTTAACCTCTGGTTGACTGAAGGACTAGCTCTGTCGTGGTGCGCAGCCCAATTGGATGTGCCGAATAAATGCCAGAGTTGGAGGAACTCCCTTTTTAGACAACAGCTTTCAAAAGCTCTCGGCCAGCATGTTGTCTGAAGAACGGGACTTTCCTAAGCGCTGGCAAGGTCATGTGTCAGCAATTGTCAGGTGGTCGCGGCTAGTATATTTTACGAATCGGAAATATCTCAAAGCCGGCAAAATCCCCACCGTCCTTATGTTTTAAAACCCTGTATTTTAAATACTCCACAGAAAGCAGATGCCTCACCTGCAGCCCCCTACCTTTCCCCGTCGCCAGAAACAAACCCTGCAGCCTCGTCAACGTCCGCTGTTCACCCCAGTGTCAGCCTGAATAGCATCAGGCTGGAGGAGCCTGGCTTGGCCCCTTACAACTCTTACCCGCCGCAGGCTGGCCCCCTCAGGACACCCAGCGCGGAGGCCCCTCACTTAATGCTCAGAGACCAAGAGCCGCCGTCCTTGTCTCCGCATATAGATCCAGCAAAGGTACCTCCGTCTGCCCTGCTGTCCCGTTGCACGGAGCCCCTGCCGCGCATCCTGTTCTCACATGATCATAATTTGCTTTATCCCTCACTACGAAAGAGCTTCTGTGCTTCTTTTAAAAACCATCTAACTTAATTTAATTTCCACCCCCACCCCCCTTGCATGAATTCAAGTTGCATTTTTCACTTCTGCTAGAAATCGAATGCACAAACTGGAAGATGCTGAAAATTCATTTCATTTCAAAGCTTGCTTGGCTGCTTTTTTATTTTTAGTGTGTGCATATGGCTGAAAACATTAACTCCCTATAATGAGAAAATAAGACCTCTGCTGGGTTTTTTTAATAACCTCCCTGTATGAAACAGAAATAGTTCATAGTTGCCTGCATTTTTATTGATTAATTGTGTTGGGTTTTGCCAAAGGTTCTTGCGCAGTTCACCTAATGAACCCTCTTAACAGAAGAATAAAAATCACCCCAAAATTCAAACCTTGTGACAGAAAGAGCAGCCAAAGGTAGAACAAGAAAACTATACTAAAGCTAGATTTTCAGGGAATAAAAACAACAAATTAGGAATTATTAAATTCCAGCCTCATTGCAGTTCATGGCAACCCAGGTAGGTGGAGGGGGAGGACGTTGTTCAGGTAGCATCTGGCCTTTTGCCCTGACCTGGATAGGAGCACGCACAAAGTAAAGTCAGAAGGCAGAGGGGGCAAGGAGAATCACGGGGCTGGGGAACGGGAAGTTCTGATCACAACAAATCAGAGGAACCAGCAGTGAGAGACCCTGGGAGTTCCAGCCTTGACAGCATCTGGTGGACCAGAATTTGACTCCCACCTCCTGACCAGACTGACTGCATCACAGTACTTTGTATTTGACGGCTGATGCCCCACTGCTTCTTTCTCCCCATCTCTTCAGACACACAGTAAATGCCGGTCTCATTAAAATAAGCAGCTAACTTAGTAGGTTCTCTCCCTTGCCGCTGCCGCCCCATATTTCTATGGCAAACTACAACCCTGCTTTTGTTTTAAGCAAGCAAATTCAGGGGTGGGGGAGGGATGTTCAAAAAAAAGAGAGGCTGAAGTGTATTTGCATTCACTAGCAGGCCACACTTTACCCACTAATCATCTAGATCAATGGATTTAAAAATTGTGATGAACTAAAAAGACATCATTATAAAACAAGCAGCAGATTTTTTTTAAATAAAAGTTTTTAGTGTCAGATAAAAACAGAAGGTGGCCAGGACCATACTAAAGTTGGGAGAAGCTTCTTGTAAGGCAATGCTGGTTGCAGCACATGAAGCATCTAAAAAGTATCTTTTAAGAGTTTTTAAAAAAAAAAAACACCAAGATGCTTACTGTTTCTGTAAACCTTACACAGCTAGGGATAAAATGTTACACTGGCTTTTGCTGGTATTGTCCAGTGGTTTGTTTATAATGCTCTCAGCTGCTCATGCACAATATGCAAAATTATTATCTACCTACAGATGTACAGGAAGGACCCGTATATTAACGAGGAGCCCCCTCGGGCGAATTATGTCTTAAAACAGCCTGCACAGAGGCAGGAGAAGGATTCTAATCTGACCTACGAACCTCAACCTCAGTACACGGAGAAACAGGCCAATAGAGATTATGAGCCTTTGGCATACAGATACGACTCCACAAACTACGTGGACCACTATTCTCGTAACTACGACCCTCGTCTCCACTATCAGGAGGATGTGCCTCCCTATGATGACCACTGGGCATACTATGACGAAAAGCCCCCCTACCAGCCCCGGCCCCCCTACGACGGCCAGCCTCCCAGAGACTTTGATCCCCGGCCGAACGCAGAGGAGAGCACTGAACGCGGCTATTTCCCGGCCCAGCCTCGCTTCGAAGAGCCCCCTCCCGTGGCTTACGACAACCGGCCGCGCTACGAACATGGGCCTAAAAACTTCAACCTCACGCAGCTGAGGTACGAAGAGCAGAACCCGGCTGGTTATGAAATGCACGGGAGATACAAAACGGAGTCTCAGGCTTTCTCCTCCGCAGTGCCCCGATCTCCCGAACCCAAGCATTACTTTGAGTCGCAGCCCCGAGGCTACGAACCCATCCCCCCGCAAGGGTTCGGCGCAAAAGCAGGACAGTACGACCCTCCTCACAACCCATCCGGCGTGCTCCCTTCCCTGCCCTCACAGAGCAAACCCGAAGGCCTGCCTTCCACCAGTAATAAACCACTGCCGACCCAGCCAGCGGAAGAAGAGGACGACCCCGCCATGAAACCGCAGTCCGTGCTGACGAGGGTAAAGATGTTCGAAAACAAACGGTCGTCGTCCCTGGAAAAAATCAAGGACTCTAATGAGCTTCCTGTAGTCAAGGTAAAGACTTTCTTTGTCCTTTTTTTATTTTTAGGGTTACAACTGCATGGGGTGGAGAAGTAGCTGCAGCTCCCATCGTCCCTCACCAATGACTATGCTGGCTAAGGCTTATTGTTGTGTTTTTAATGTTTTTTTAATATTGTCATGTCAATATTTGAGTTCCCTTATTGGGAGAAGAGTGGCCTATAAATAAGATATACAAACAAACAAATAAAAGTAAAAGGCTGCTGGGAATTCCGCATCAAGGAAATAAATTCATTTTAAAAATAGTACATTTTGTTTGTTTGGGCGTATGCATATACAATATTCTCGAATGAAGAATTCTTTATTCGTTCTGTACTATTATTAATTCGGTGAAGATATAATTAAATTAAGTGAAAAATACATTTAGAAAAATATTAGAAATTTAGTGAGTATTAGTCATTATAAATGAATAAAAATAAAGTTCATTATATTCAGTGATTAATACCCATTCTAGATCCACTCCAGGATCCATGTACGTGAGATTTATTGGAATATATTTTTAGCAGAGTCTCCTAGTCCCTGGCACCAGCAGCAGGAGTTTATGGTGCATGGAGGATAGTTAGTCAGAAGAGCACAAAGGCAGGGAAAGGGTGAGGGCCATTAAACAGCCTGTTGCTTTAAAAATGACAGCATCTTTTGAGGTTTAGCAGGCAAGAGCCTCTGGCCTTCAAAGAAGAAAAACACTTTGCAAATTTTGTGGAATAAAGGATTCACCTTCAAAATTAATTAGAAATTGTTTCCCTGCTTAAATGAACTGATGTGCTGTTTTTTGGTTTTTTTCTTTTCAGTTTTCACACCACAGTGCCAGTTTCTAGTGCCAGAATTTTTTCTTTATTAGTTAATTAGATCTATGCCGCCCCGTTAGTGCAGTGCCCTCTTCTGGGTGGTTCACAACAAACCCCATAAATGATAAATGTATAACAAAACAAAGAAGAGAGTTGAAACTAACTTTTGCTTGAGATCCAAAGTGGGGGAGGCACAGAAAAGGCTTGGCAGCCCACGTGCCCTCCATGGAGTGTTCTTGCCCGCCCTGATTTAGACCACCTTCCACTGAGTCCACCCCTGCTCTGATGCGATGCAAGGCAGGGTCGCTATATAGCCTCCTGCAAATGAATCTTTTTCTTTTCTTCTCTCCAACGTTTATGGATAAAGGGGGCAAAAATACTGAAACAAGAAATGTGTACGATGGGAGGGGAGGAATAAAATTATGCTGCTTGGCTGATGGGGCCCACATGGGTCAAGGGAAAGGGGGACAGGGAGAAAGAGGGTCTGTGTATCTGAATAAATGGAACGGCCTTGCACTGGTCAAAAAGGAATCAGGCTGCAGAGCAGGAACGAGAAACAGTGGGAGGGTCTGTAAATCAAATCTGCTCAACTGTGAGCTGATTGGAAGGATGATGATAGTTATGTTACGTTTACCCTATTCTTTTAGCTGAAAGGTCTTTCAGAGTAGTTTACATGAGATTGGCCTAACGTGCCTGATTTTTTCTGAGGATTCCAGAAGAGGCAGCAAAGGAGAGACACAAAACAATACTGTGGACATTGTTGGACATAACGTTCAGCTTTTCAAATCACCCCAAGCGTAAAGCAGAGAGTAAAATAGATATTAAAATGCATCGCATCAAGCTCATGAGTATCTTAAAAACAGAGTTCTTATTTAATGAACTGCCCATAAGGATCCTCTGTATGTAAAATAGTTCTAAAATGTCAGCAGGAGATTTCTTCTTCTCTTCAGTTTTGACCTGTTGTCTTGTATTTTTTAGCAGCCGCCAGAGCTTGCACCTAAGCCTAGCCTCAACCCCGTGAGCGGTCCTAAACCTGTCTCTCAAAACCAGTATGAACACGACAAACCAGCGTACAGGTAAGTGCGGACATGCATTGTTTATAGGCAGGAGCTATGACGGGCATGGGCTACACCTGTCTGATACTTGTAATCTGATGTGCTGTTAGGAACAGATCTAGTCCAGGGGGGAGCAGGAGAAAGAGGATGGTTCTCTTGACCCCTTTAGTGCTGGAGAAAGTGGATGTGGAAATGGCTATAGCTGTGGGGCAGTGACAAGAGGGTCCTCCCAATGGTTGACTTTGGCCTTACAGTATTATCAGAAAGGTTTTAGATACTATCTGTGAATGTAGACATATGATGTCATTCACTTTTGACTGGTGGATTAGGCTCCTACCGTGAACAACACGAGTCTGTTCTTTAGCTTTTGTTCCTAGTTTTGCTCCAGCATAGTAGCTGGAGAGGATTACTGGCCAAACAAAGTCTCAGAAGAATTGCAGCATTCCGGCAGGCACCTGGGTAGGTGCCACCTTGAGCCAGACCTGCAGCGTGACTAGGTGCCAGTTAGACCGCGTTGCCTACCAGTTCTGTTCTGGTGGCCCATAGACTGGATAATGAAATAGGCATTTGTCCTTGTCCTTGACATTTTCCCCCTTCCCGGCATTGTCCAAATCCAGTTACCTGATGGATGTTTCTTCGGTTGCACGGCAGCTCTGATTTCTACTTGAGTTTCTGAATCCTCTTAAGAACACTTGTAATCTGTTCAGCCTTCTGTACAGTGGACCCTCTACTTACGGAATTAATCCATATTGGAACGGTGGCTGCAGGTCGAAAAGTCTGTAGGTCGAGTCTCCATTGACCTGCAATGCATTGAAAACCAATTAATCCGTAACAGGCCGTTTTTGTTCCATTTGGTTTTTTCTGGTCTGTAAGTCGATTCTCCGGCTGCAAGTCGAACCTAAATTTTGCAGCCAGAGAAGTCTGTAACTCGAAAAGTCTGTAAGTCAAGATCTGTTCAGCCTTCTGTACTGTAAAATGTGGCTTTTTCCAAACAAGTAAGAAAGCTCCATAAAGGTTTGTTTGTGCACCAGGGCCCCAGAACCACAAAGACCTCAAGCAAAACCCCCCGAGGACATTGTTCGGGCAAACCACTATGATCCTGAGGAGGACGAGGAATACTATCGCAAGCAGCTCTCCTATTTTGATCGACGAAGTTTTGAAAACAAGCCCGCCATGCCGGTCCCTTCTAGCCACCATGCTGAGCCTGCTAAACCCGTTCATCTCCACAATCAGCTGAACTACTCAAACTACTCTTCCAAGTAAGCGTTCCTTCTTTCTCACTTCATTCTGTATTCTTCCGGAGGGATTATTGTAAAAATAAGGTTAACAGCTCAAGAAAGCAGAGGGGTTGTCATGGCAACCCAAAACGGGGAATGTAAGGTTAAATAAATACACATGTTGACCATGCGTGTTTACTTGAACGTTACCGAAGGCTGTGGATACCAAAACAGCGGTTGCCGCCTTCCCTTTCCCCCGCAACATGCACACATGCCTCACCTGTACCTGCACACGCACAGATCCAGAGAAACGGCTGGGCTTCTGGCCTCTCTTGCCCTGTGCAGAATGTGGAGGTATCTGTAGCCAGGATCTCACACTAGACATCAATGGGCAGAATCCAGCGGAAGGGAGAGGGAGAATTTCTCTTGCACTCTCTGGGCACCCCAAAGACCTACTACAGAGGATTAAAACTCCAGTTTTCTGGCCAGCTCTCCAAAGACCTGCTGCAGAGGATTAAAACTCCAGTTTTCTGGCCAGTTTCCAAGGACTCATGGATGGGAAGGAAAAGGAAATGTGGTTCTGTCAGCACACCGTTGGATTTAATACCCTGCATTTATGTGACATTGCGTTTCTTTTTGCTTGAGAAAATATGTGACCCTTTAAGACTCATGGATGGGAAGGGAAAGGAAATGTGGTTCTGTCAGCACAATGGATTCAATACCCTGCATTTATGTGACACTGCGTTTGTTTTTGCTTGAGAAAATATGTGACCCTTTACAGTGCTGCCTCGCTAGACAATGATAATCCGTTCCACTGAAATCGCTGTTTAGCGAAATCATCGTCTAGCGAAAAGCATTTCCCCACTGGAATGCATTGAAACCTGTTTAATGCGTTCCAATGGGGAAGAATCATCATTGTCTAGCGAAGATCGGCCATAGGAAAGCCGCTTTGTGAACCGCCGATCAGCTGTTTAAATAGCTATCTTGCGAAGGTCTTGCAAAGGTCGCGAAAAACACCCATTTTGCAAGCACGGAGGGAGCTGTCAAAATCGTTGTCTAGCGAAAATTGGTTTGCGAAGCAGGGACCAAACATTGTCCAGTGAAATTCCCCCATAGGAATCACTGTTTTGCGAATCACTATAGTGATCGCAAAAAGTCAGTGTCTAGCGAAAAAACTGTCATGCAGGGTAACTGTCTAGCGAGGCACCACTGTATTTGTAAGTGCTTTAAAAAGAAATGCCATAAAACTAGAATGCGAAATATAATGCACCATAAACATGAGCAGGAGAAAGATAATAAATTACCCAGACGCATGATTCTAAACTCCATGAAATGCTGTATATGTAAAATGAAGCAAGCTATGGAACATTACATGAAAGAGGCATGACCTAGTAAACACTGCCTCTGTTGAAAAGAAACCACAATGCTACGTTGGAGACCAAAATGTTAGGACATTTAAAGCAGTGACAGCAACGGGGTTCTTTCCTGTTGTTTTAAAAGGACCTTCCTTCTTTAAAACACAAGATAGCTTGCTTGCACACACCTTCAGCCACTCATGTCCGCTATAGGTCATGTTCCCTGCATCCTGCTGTTGATTGATCATCCTATGTTTTAAAATATAAATGAGATCTAAATAATTCACCACTCATGTAATGCCGTAGAATCTTAGGCTGCCAGAAACAAGGGTAGTGCACATTTTTCATCACATCAGCTTCTTCTCCATTGCCACTTTCCCAAATCTTGCTGTTGGTTTTCTTTTTCACCTTTGTGTTTTCTCGAACGCTGCCTTCTGCAACTGGACCTGAGGGGCAAGCCATATTGGTCAGGATTAAAAGGAATTGATGGAGACTAAGGAAGAACAGCAACTTGTCTTTCCCATTTGTGTAACCTTCAAATAGCTGTCAAGTCCTCCCAGCCTGTATTGTTAGCTGTGATGGCACCAGTTATGCTATTGACTGTGCAGGTTGCATGTGGAGAGCAGTGAGGTAGTAAAATTGACTGCACTGACTCAGAATCGAGGTGTGGGCTGCCCATTTCCCAGGGCGCTTTCACACTGAAAAAGGAAGCCAGAATTGTTTGTAGAAAACCAGTGCTTCAAGGACTGTAAATTACAGCCCCATCCCATACCTGGTTTCCCTCTGATTAAAGGCATTCCATGGAACTCTTAGCCGCCAAAGAAGTCAGAAATTGCTTAATTTCTGACAAATCGTTGCTGCTGATGATGTCATCGGTCTTACGCAGCATAACATACAGCAACAGGATTTCGGCCACAAATTCCTTTTAAGTGTCCCCCAAGACCAGTGGGCTGGCAGTCTTCCTGTAAGCTGTAGTTGGGTCACTTTGCCCAATAGCCTGCTCCCATGTCTGGCAACAGCTGCCTCAGATTATAGCAGGGCTTCTCTGGCTCTTCCAGAAATCCCGGGCTCTTCGGTCTCCATCTGTTGGAATGATACCATTGTCCACATAAGGGCAGAGCAAACAAGGTCAAAGGTGGGCAAAACCTCCTTGTTCTAAAGAGGAGAACAGAGCCCATGATCACACTGATGGTCCCCCCAAAAGTGATTTGGGATCTGCTGGCTCACAAAGCATCTTGTAGGATGGTTTTTCTGAGGGTTTTCGTTTTGTTCTGGTCTGTTCGTTGAAGGATTTGCCTAAATGCAAAGGAGTGCGCTTTAAACTAGAATGACTGTGTTCCTTTTATCCCTATTGCCCTTTGCTTTGCTATCACCTAGATTTCTTGGCTCTTACACTAGCTATGGCTACTTGAAAAGGAACATCAAGTGGTAAGAACACGGCTGGGGGGAGGATGTTGTTAAGGTGTCCTCTCTCCCCACTATCTTCTCTCACAGGCATTATGTGCAGATAAAATTTTGAATGCATTTTCAAGGTGACTTGATCAAAACATGGTAGGGATTTGGCATTCTATTGGAAAATAACCATTTCTGGGGTGACATTTGGAAAATCTGAACTAAAAATAGCTTGTATTTTTCTCCTCTTAACCAGCTTAAAAATTATGCACATAAAGCTAGTTGTTTACGTTTGTTGTATTTCTGAATAAGGTGGCATTGTAAATATTGAATGCTGAGTATATTTGGGAGTATTTCCGTTAAACATGGATTTTTTTTTAACAAATGGGCCAAAATGTTGAGCCCCCCCTCTTAAAGACCTGGCAATCTATCTGTCTATTAATTTGTATTTCCTTGCCCTAAGGAAAACTGACCTATGGAAAAAAGTTGTAGCGTTGGTTATAACCAACACAGATTCGAAAATACACCCCAAATGTCATCTGTTTCTTGCTTGCCATCTACTTTGGTTTGTCTTACTAATCTTTCTAACAAATTAGTGTTGTTGTAAACTCTCTCCTTTGCTTCAAATATTACTCTTATTTTGTTTTGGAAGTTACAAAAAAAATTAAATTTTATTATTACAACTATAGGTACACAAGATTAAAATATAACAAAACATAGTAACTACAGTTGGATCAAAACCTACTAAAATTCAGGTTACAGTTAAGTGTAAATTCTTAATCTAGCCAGTGCAGTGGCTTAGTCATCAGATTCCTTATTGTACACACTGCTTTACAACATTTTGCAACCTTAGCTGTGGTTTCCCTTTAGGAGCCAGGCTGGAGGAGACAAAACTTGTTGGGTCTGGATATTTTAACATTGGAAAAATGAGCAAGTTGCAGCAGCTCTTATAAAGCGCGCAGTACGATAGGACACATCCCACAGCTTCCACCATTGGCAAGGGCGAAAGCTTTGGTCATAAGGGATGTGTAAATATCTTCCCTTCAGAAAGGCTGAAGAAGGCAGAGTGTTGAAACAGGCTAGGGCAAAAGCTCTCTGATACCTAGCAGTTTCTGTTTTATAAAGACAGTATGCTGGGGTAAGGATCCTCCTGTAATTCTCAGCAACAATGCAATGGGCTCCATGAGCTTTGCCGAGTTGGAGGGCTACCTCCCAGATCTGTCGCCTGATCATCTCTTTAGCCTCCAGAAATCCCAGAAGCAACAGGGAAGGGGGTTGGAATAAGCTATTAAGACAAAAAAACACACACATGATAACATCAATACAGAGAAGTTAATCTTTGATAGGAAAAGGGGATGTAGCTATGGGAGAACAGGCACTGCTTCTGTAAAGGTGAACGGCTGTCTCTTCTCATGCTGCTGATGGATACAGCAGGCCCACACCAAGGAAGCCTTTCCCTTTGGTTGCAGAATTGAGGAAATTTGGAACTGGGGTGGGGTTCGCTTCCTGGCTTTAAGGCGGAAGACGTAGCCGAGGTCCTGGGCTCTGTTTTGTTTGCTTGTTTGTTTTCTGCTGCACTTGCTGCCAGTCGCTTCCCAGTGTGATCAGCGATTGGAGATTTGGATTCCAAAACTGATGGATAGGATCAGGTTACTTGCCTCTGTAAGAGAATGTCAGCTTGCCTGTAGTCCAGGATCCCCATTTTCAGAAGGCACTGTAGAGAACAGTCAGGCCCAGAATCGGAAAAGAGCCATAGCCGCACACACCCTCCACACCCCCACACCCCAAAAAACTAGGAAGCCGGAATCAATGTTGTCTGTTTCTTTTTATTTCCGTTGCTCTCCACAGGGGAAAGTCAATAGACATGGAGACTCTGGATCGAGCTGTTGGTGAAAAGCGTTATGAGACAGCCCCTCAAGTGATCCCCCCTCCCCCTGCACCCCCAGTGCAGTACACCCAACCTCAGTCCATTAATAACCCCATCGTGTCTCTGCAGCCCAAGTCTACACTGACGGAAGGTGAGCCTGCACCTTTTTCACTTCATTATAATACTTACATTCCAGCATACAGGGCGACAGCAAACTCTTTAAATGGCTAAAGGGGCCATTAAGGCAGCAAAATCCAAAACATAAGAAGCCATGCACCTGCACACACATGATTGGCCCCACTTAAAAACACACAAGAGTAGCATGGCAGGCAAAGCCAATGGCCTCAAAATTTTTCAGAAAAATGGTCATGAGAAAAACAACACAAAAACTTTTCTTTGTTCCGTGGTCTTGATTTGAAGGCCAATAAAGAGCAGGTTGCATGAATAACAGCACTCCCCCCCCCCCAACTGCTCTTGTGGTGATTCAGGATGGGGACGAGTTGGTGATCTATTTAAAGTGCAGAAACTCTGTTCCTGAACACAAACTGTATTAAATCAACAGCCTTCTAGCTTCTTGGAACTGAAGCTTTGAAGGCTGGAACTTTTAGGACATATCCATATATTTTCAAGAATCATCAGTTCTTGAAATATACCATTCTTAAAAAGTTGATCTCTGCACCCACGAATGGATTTACCCTTTTTAAATATTCCCACATGCAGCTTTTGTCTGTGAAACTATGTTGCAAGCTTCAAAGCACTCTTTTGGCATCCTAACATATGTCGCTTTCTCTCTTGTTTCTTTGCAGTCAACTCCGTGTCGGACTTTCAGAACTCTACTTTGCCTAAGCCGGAGCCCTCCCTGCCTCAGAACAAACCGCTCGCTTTCAGGTCTTCCAGCCGAGAAGACACCGTGCAGTCCACCTTCTACCCTCAGAAAAGCTTCCCCGACAAAGGTCCCGTGAACGGGACAGAACAGATCCCAAAGACGGTCACCCCCGCTTACAACCGCTTCACGACGAAACCTTACACAAGTGCTGCCCGGCCCTTTGAACGCAAGTTTGAAAGCCCGAAATTCAACCACAATCTCCTGCCAGATGAGAATCAGCATAAGCCCGAGTTGCCATCCAAATCTCAGAATTCTCCCCAGCCCCTTTTAAAAGCACACAGCTCATCTCAGCCGGAGTTTGACAGTGCAGTGGATACCTTCTCCATACAGGCCGACAAGCTCAAATATCAACCAAATAACATCAATGCTGTGCCTAAAGCCATTCCCGTAAGGTAAAGCTTCTCCTAGATGTGAAAGTGCAGTTGCTTCACATTCCATTTCATCTCATTGCCTCCCTTCTAGAAGGTCAGAAGGCAATCCCAACACTTAACTCATTTATGGTAGATTAACCCTTCATAAACTTATTCCTTTGGGGTAGGACAGAAAGCCACCTCCCCCCCACCCCCGAAACACACCCAGACTCATCTGGTTCAAGAAGTAAGACAGAATCAGACGCAGCTTGTATGTAGATGGGAGCCAGCCAGAGAACACTAGCAATCTCTGGTAGCATTGGAAGATTTCCTGCCTGAAACCCAAGAGAGTCATCACTGCCAGTCAGAGTTGGTAGCACTGAGTAAGATGAACAAAGGGGCTCACCCAGGATCAAGCAGCTTCTTTTGTTCCTGTGTCCTCTGCTCCAGTAGTTGTCAGCTGTTCATCTTCCAAATGGTTTGGACTTTAACTCCCAGAAGCACTAGAAGGGTGGCCAGCGATCAAGTGTTCAAGAAGTTATAGTCCAGCAAAATCTAGTCCCCAAAATTAAGGACTGCCACTGTGTTCAGTCCCCAGCATCTGTAGCTGAAAAGATTTCAGGGAGCTAGGCTGGGAAAAATTGGGTGGTGTAGTGGTATGTGTTGGTTAAAAAAAATCCAGTTTCAGCCATGCTTATTTATGAAACAATATTGGAAGCAGAAGACCTGGTTTAGAATTAAACACTGCTGCTCAACAAGGATGGTGGCTTGTTAACAAATGACGAAGAGACAGCAGAACTATCTATTAGTTCGTTAGAAATATATTATTTCCTCCAGTGAACTTATGACAGCACACATGCCCTTCTTCCTCATAAAGTCAAACAGTTATAAAACTTTTACACACTTCATTTGAAACCTGCTGCACTTTATTCTGGAAGATAAAACTGGTACAGAAGCACATAACGGAACAGTTAGAAAAGTAAAAATTTTCTTCCTCTTAATTTTAATAGCTTGTTCCATGTCAGCAAAAAATGCTGCTGGAAAAGCAGTCTGTCTCCACCAGCCAAAAAGACTCCTTCTCAACTGTGTTCAGCAGTTTTTACAGTCCCTGTTTGCAGTAGGAGCAGGGAGTGTAATAGCGTAAGAAGCGCAGTGGGAAGAATTTTACTTGATAAGAACAAGTCAAGACTGGGGGCTACTGTAGAGAATTCAGGGTTGGTTTGTTTTTTAGAGGGTCATTTAAGAGCATTTCAGTATGCAAGAAGACAGTGTGATGGTTTCTGGAGTGATGCTGCTTATGAATAACCTGCATGTCCACTGTGCATGTGTTCTTAATGCCTTGCGAATTCGCAGGAGGGCCTTTGCCACAGCAGGGTCACATGCATATGCTTCACCTCCAGCTCTTTCGTCTGCTTGTGATATAAAGGACCATTTTGGTGTATGTACTTGCACTGCTTCTAGTATAGAAGATGAGAGGCTGCAGACAGTTGGCGTGTTTTGCAAGATGCACCCATCTCCTCTGTCTTGGGCATCTGGGGAAACCTACGAGCGGATGCGGTTTACCCAGAAGAAGCACAACTGTTACTCGAGGCAGTGGGTTTACAAATGTACTTGTCCTCTTTTCGTCTTCACCTGAGGTCATCTTTATTCTGGGAACTAAGAAAAAATAACTTGACCTCTGTCTGTCTCTCTTGATTGTAGTCCTTCTGCTCTAGAAGATGACGATGAAGAGGACGGACATACCGTAGTCGCCACTGCGAGAGGCGTTTTTAACAGCAACGGTGGCGTCCTCAGCTCCATAGAGACTGGAGTTAGTATCATTATCCCACAAGGAGCCATTCCAGAGGGAATCGAGCAGGAGATCTATTTCAAGGTCTGCCGAGACAATAGTATCCTCCCACCTCTAGACAAAGAGAAAGGTAGGCCCAAACCTGGGGTCGCGGCGTTTCCTTCAACCCACGTTTTGTTTCAGCATCTCATGCGCAAGAAGAAGAGGAGGGTGCCTACCATCTTTTAAAGGAGAAGCAACCATTCTTCCTGGAAAGACCAAAATAGTTCTTCCTCAGGATCAGAATGGTGGCGGGAAAACCCACGGAAGGAGGTCTCCCTTTTCTGGTGTAACAAGCAACCCCTGAGAAGCAGAAAGCTCCTGGGGGAGGGGGAAGTGGGGGAGGACTGTCTTGCTCCTTTCCATTTCTTGTTAGTAATAGGGACGCCTCCTTGGCAGCCTGGAGAAGTTAGGCTGAACTTTGACGTTACTGAGGAGAAGGAGAGGCTGCTAGGGCTCCTTGTCAAGGGGGGGAAGCTCCTTGCCTCGTGGCTTGATTTCCTGGTTCATCTTAGTGGCGCCTTATTGAGAGCTGCTGCTTTCAGCATCTCCTGGGAGAGGTAGAGCCGGAACCTGCCCCTGCCAGCACAGAAGGTTTGATCTTGTTATGAAGGCTGCCACAGTCGAATGCAGCCCCTGAAACTTCATTGCAACAAAGGTGACATTCCATGGAGATGGAGGACGTTTATGTGAAGTTTTAGTCCCATGTTGTCTTCACTGTCCTTTAGCCGTCCTGTAGTTCCAGAAAGGTCTAGCGCAAGAGTGGGTGGCCACCAAGAGGTGGGGGCCATGCCTGACCCCTTTTTCACCCCACACAGGACCATAACATTCTGTTGCTTTTTCCCCAAGCAGCAACAGGGGATGGGAAAGAGAATAACTTGGAAATTGCACAGGAAAAACCATAATCCTATTGATTGCACAAGCCCCTTGAAATTCTCTTTGGGAAATAACTAGAAACGGTTGCTTGTTAGGCCAACTAAGTGACTTCGTTCTCCTTCTTTTTGGTTTTTTGTGATTTTTTTAAAGTGTGGCTTCATTGTAATTGTGTTAGCAGTAAGTAGTTATAGGTAACTACTTACTTTGCATGCTACTCATTATTTCCCAGTTCTTTTTCTTCTTCTCCTGATTGCCTCTTTGAATTTGCTGCAGCAAACAAATTGCTTCTTGGGTCACACGGCCTTCTTTGTTTTTACGATCTCAGCTAATCTCACTTTTCTGAGCTTCCGACGCTTCAGGTGCAATGCTGCGCATTTGTCGTCTGTCACAAGAGTGCGACAACACTTAACGTTTCTCCCTTTTCTTCCTTGACTGCAGGTGAAACGCTCCTCAGCCCCTTGGTCATGTGCGGGCCCCATGGACTAAAATTCCTGAAGCCAGTGGAGCTGCGCTTACCCCATTGTGCGTCAATGACCCCTGATGGTTGGTCTTTTGCTCTAAAATCCTCCGACTCCTCGTCGGGTATGCTGTCCTCCCTCTGTCCTTTTGGGGCTTTTGGGTGCTATCGTATAATTTAAAACTCACCTGCCTGAAGGTGACACTGTGTAATATAAAGATATTACTAAATCACTGTATTTGTGTCAGCTCTCCATTTCATTTTCATTACAAGTGTCTTTCTCACACTTACTCATGCTGCAAAAAATCATTGCAGAAAATCATGATGGATAAAACCAAAATGGCAAGGTAGATAATGTCGTCCTGTGCTTTGTCATTGGTCCATCCAACGGTGCAGTTATCTACCTTGTTTTCTTATCTCTCACACTCTTCTGTCTCTTTTCTCTCTCTGTCTTTCTATCTCTCTCTCTCTCAAGGACTAATACTGCTGCAAAACACTCAAAAATGAGAAAGTTACACTTTTTTTCCCTCTTTGGTAAATTATGTTTGAGCAATTCTAACTGTAGTTTTGTAACAACTGATACGCAGTTCTTTGAATGACCATGGAATGCTGTAGCAGTCCCAGTAAGCTGAGGCAAAAACGTTTAATATTTTGGTCATGCTTTCATGTGCAACCGATGTCATGTATTAATTTGGCCATTCAAAGAAAAAAGCAATCTGTCTTGCAGAAGAACCCTGTCTAACTCATTTTTGACACATTTGGGCTCAAGGCACAAATTTGTGCTGCTTTCAAATTCTGAAATGTTGCTGAGAAATGGTCCTCTCCTCTGTTTTCTTTCATAGATGGGTGTGCCTGTATTCTTTTCCCAGTAGGTATTGTAGCCCTTACTCTCTCAAAGGAGGGGAATTACCATTGGCTAAAAACCAGGGGAGAAGAATAATTAGGGAAAAAAATAGATTTCTTGGGTAAATTTCAAGCAATTTCATGAAGTGGCTGGAAAGTTACAGCCGTGAGTGAAAAATGAGTCTCTTCTGCATATTGGACAAAGGGTGCATTTCCAGGCACTTCAATAGCATTTTTGATGCCCTTAAATGTATACATATATGTATATGGTATATAAAAGCAATGTACTTATGTGTACAGTATTTAAATGTATTCGTATTTGTCACTAAATGTATTTATCATTTTCAATGCCACTATGTTGACACTAAAAGAAAAAGAAAGGGAAAGAACATCAGATGCTTCTCTGATTGGGGATCCAGTTATTTAGAACAATCTTGGCCGGTCGATTTTTACTGGTGTTCTATGCATGTGTTGCATGCAGCTATTTAACTCTGTGTTAAAAAGGAAAAAAAAATCAGACAAACCAAACTGGAAGTGCTAGAAAATGGACAGTTTCAAGTCATAAGGATCCAAAAGTTCTGCCACTTAATAATCTATATATCTCCTTCAAACCGTGCTTTCAATCATTTTGTAACTGATAAACCTGTTCATGAATTTTCTTGAAATGAAAGGCAAGAGGGAAATGTGCTTGTCCTGCATAATCTCTATTAATGTGAGAAAAAAAAAACAGATCTTCCTTTCCAAGTTAGCCTACCTATGTGTGCTCCTGCGGTGCTCTTGCGTGCCTGTGTGTGTGTTTCGAGGGTTGCCTCTTTCTGTCTGTACCGGAGCTATTAGTCCCTTGCAGCTAACATATTTAAATGTGGTGTTATATCAGTAATCTTGCTCCTTGAGACAAACTTCACAATTGGCCAACTCTGTCTTCTGATGTGTAAGCCATACTGTGTCTTAAATAAATACTTGTTTTCTCTCTTTTTTTTTTAAAAAAAAGAAAAAGAAAAACATATATAAATATCTATTAGACCATTATGGGATCTCTTTCTCGCTCTCTCTTTCTCTTAAGCTTTTCCTAACATGTTTTCCATGTTCCTCTGTCTTTTTGAAACAAAACATTTGGTTATACATACTAACCTCTTCTGCAACACATTTTAAAAAGTCAGCTGCACTGACACATTATCTCCCCCCCACCAAAACAAATATATATATTGCCTTGTTTCATCTCATCTCATGGAGCAGAGGAGACCACTAACTCCAGATTCTGAATGGGCCACAGCACAACTGGTTAACTCCCGAGTGCATTTACATTATTACATTATTTGGGATTAGATGGTCAGGGCGGAGGTGGTCCTCCTGTTTTCAAAAGGACTTTACGAAATTTTAGCTTTGCTTTTTTCAAACTGTATTTCACTGCACACAAGGAAGATTTTTCTCAGGTACACTCACACATGTCAGACTGTGCCTTCATATCTTTACAAACTGTTGATTACTGACAATTTGTAAATTGGGTGTAAATCTAGCTCAGGCTAATCAAAGTTCCTTTTCTCCTTTTTGGTGGGGAGGGTCTGCTTACAATTGAAATGCCATTTTGGTGACTGAGAAGATGTCACAGGCTCTCATAACTTAGTATGCTAAGGAAATGGCTGAGCATACCAATCAGCTCTAAGTCTGCCATTGCACTTGTACTGTCCGCTCCAGGTATCATCACTTCAGCATACTGATCATTGTGTACATCATGTTTGTTTCCATGAGTTTCTCACAAGAAGTGTGGAGCCTCTTGTCCTTTGTAGAGCTGCACAACATATCCATAGCCCCAAGCCCTTAAGGCAGTTTTATCTAACCTTGGTTCTGCCTGCTACTCCGTAGGAACAAAGGAATCGTAAGAGCTTCACGGAGTGTGTGTGTGTGTGTGTTATGTGATCTAAAGTGCTTCTGCAACAGCAAAGCGTTAAACTGTGTTTATATCAAATGACAGACGCTTGGTCTCTGCAAATGAAATGACAGTAGGAAATGATCAGATTGAAATTAATTAGGTTAATTTCCTTAGTCAAAGTAGCTCAGAGAGTAAACTTGCACTTCATTCAATTCTCTACCGCTTTCCCTGTGATTGAACCTGCTTCCTGGCAAGTCACATAAGGCTTGCAGCATTAGACAGTAAACTTGCACCTCATTCAATTCCCTGTGATGGAACCTGCTTCCCGGCAAGTCACATAAGGCTTGCAGCATTAGACTTTACGGTTCAGCACTCAGGACGGTCTAGAAGGCAGGAGAACACAGATGTTGCTGGACTGTAGCTCTCTGCCTTCCTGGATAGGCTGACATTGGGTTCATAGGACTTAAGAGTCCAACAACATCTGGAGGGCCACAGGTTGCCCCCCCCTCATCTAGATGCAGCTGGGGTGCAATATCAGCATTCTGCTAATCCAAGTACTTTAGACTGGTAACAAAACTTATGCCTCCAAATAGTCACTGCAGCACAGTACTAAGGATGCTCATATTACATATTCAGCAGGTAGCTCTGAATAATTGGACAGGTTTAGATGATCAGGGTTGGATGATGGTGGTGGCCTATGCATAGACAGAACAAGGAAGGTCTTAAACATCTACAAGAGAATTGCCCAGCCTGCCCTTTGGCTGGTTTAACCTCTGATTAAATAGAGTGAAGCTTTCCAAGACTGTAGTGCCTATTGATTTCTTTTTAAACTAAAGTACAGTTTTGTGCTCCTTGTCTAGAATTTGGTGTATGGAGAGGCCTGGTGTTGGTTTGAAGCCACTCTGGCCATGTTGTCAGGGTAGCGCTGGGGTTCTATGTAATTCAACATACCTGGGAAGTGTGAAGTTGCTGAAGGCTAGTGAATTTCCCCCCAGTGTTTTTGGGTTTTTGCCCCTAGCAAGTGCTTATGCGGTGAGGTTCAAAGGCAGGTAAGTTGCCTGAAAGGCCCTTTTACTTCCAGTGAAAGGTTGCACTCATCCAAATTTTTAAGTAAACTATTAGAAATGTCATCGGGCAGACTCCCTATCAGACAGCTTACCTTTGCTTGAATCCCACCACTTGGTTTTCTTAAATGTTTCAGGGAACGAAGGTTATTCAGAATCCTTCTTGATTTTTATGAGGAAGGCTTTACACAGTGTTTATTTTGGGGCGCTTAAACTGTGTACACCTTAGTAAGACACGCACGTCTGGAGAGAAAAAAAATAAAATTTGCAGTATTTGGTGCTCTGCAAGGTGGCTTCCTAACAAGAAAAAAAATGAAACAGGCCAAGGACCAGCCGCAAAACATTTACAAATCCTTTTAATGTCCACCTGCCCTTTCCAGAACTCTTTGCAGTTTCCCCAGCTTTAATCAGTTTCGAGTTAGTAAGATAGAAACCTTGAGTCTAAGCGGAAGTTTGTGTTCCTCGCTAAAACGGGAGGTAATTTCTGACAGCAAAACATGCTCTTATTAACTTCTAAAGATACTGTTATTCCAAGATGTTCCACCTTTGAATGATAGATACTAAACTACTACATTGTTTTCCTCCCACAGGTGACCCCAAAACCTGGCAGAACAAGTCTCTTCCTGGTGATCCAAACTATCTTGTTGGAGCAAACTGTGTCTCAGTTTTAATAGATCACTTCTAACCCTTACGTTAGCTGACTGGCCTAACGTGTGAAACCGAGATTCTAACAGAAAAGAAAGCAAGCGTTGCCTAGAACTGAACCGTTTCTCCCCCACCCCACCCCAAGTATTAACAGTTCTCTGTAGTGTTACGCAGTCTTTGCTTTGACTAACAAGGGATAATGAGTACATTCTTGAACCATGGTCAGGGTACATGCCATTAATCAGCAGGGCCACAAACGACCCAGGGACCAAGGCAAGGTCTTTATGGGTTCCCTCTGACTTTCCTTAACCGGACACTTCTGATGCATCGTAGCTTAAATCTTTCTTAAACTAACCACTCAAGCAATGCAATTTACTACTACTACTACTACTATTACTAATTATTATTATTATTATAATTTTTTTTCCAGAGGAACGGACTTTTGGTTCACAAACCACTGCTGAATTAGAGCTTTTTCTTACTACAATTTTTGGGTTTTTTTTCTTCTTTTCTTTTTATAAAGAAAACACCTTTGTGTGTGTTTAGTATATGCAAAGACTCCTGCGATCACCGTTTTCTTTCTGTTTTATTTTGTTTAAAAAACAAACAACTGGCAGTCTTGATGCATACGCCCACCAAGTGGAAATACAGTTTTTTGCTAGCACAATATAGAAGTTTTTTCTTCCTCTGCTAAGAAGGGGGAGTTACATGCACGTCTAACTTTAATTGTACAAGAAAAACACTTTATTTTTCCCCCCATTTGCCATAAGGAAAGACAAAGAGAGCAAGCGCATGTGGGATGACTGTGGTTCCAGTGGCCTCCGGGGGTCTGTAAATTACGGTAACCACATCTACGACAGATACATTAACCAGCAAGGATGCCTTACCCTCATGTTTTTAACTAGTCTTAGCTATCATTGTAGTTCTCTGTACTACTAAGTTTGTTTGGCTTCTGTGCTTATGTAGATTAATACATCTTGAGAGAGGTTGAGACGTGGATTCATTTTGTGAACTGGCTCGTTTAGAAAGAGAGAGAGAAAGAAAGAGACAGATAGATACACTTGTTTTTGCGCTGATCTACCAGAGGAGAAATCTGAAGAACATGATGGTATGTTTTCTGCTATGCATTTTGAAAATTTATAGACATTATAGATTGCTTGTATATAACTCGTGCATACCACTTTTGTTCTTGGTTTGTAAATTAACTTTTATAAGCTTTACCTTTTTATATATATAAATATATATAAAAATACAAAACAAAAGTTTCTTAATATCTTTGTACTCTCATACCTTTTGAGCCTTCAACTTTGACATCTTGCAGCAATAAAAGCAGCATTTCTACACTACATGAAAATAAGGACTTTTTTAAAAAGAATATGCACAAAGTTGTTACCTTTTTAAGTGCTGCATTTAAAGACTAACTCGGAATTCTCTAGTTTGATTACATTCTTGAAAAACAAAAGTATCCCTACTGTAATTTTGTGATAAGGATGCTGTCCTATGTGCCCTGAAATGTATTTTTTTACTAATAGACAAATTATTATGGCACATCAGCACTATTTCTGTTTAGATAATATACCACTGCATTCTGTTAATCAGTTATTTAGCTATTCAGGTGTGGCTGATTTTTTTTTCTTTGCCGTTATTATTAAAAACTACACATTTCTAAATATACAGAATAAAAACTGTTTTTAAAATAATAGAAGATTTCCAGTATCTTCTTCTTTCTGTCTAAAATGCATGTGTGTGCCCAGCTGAAAATCTTGAGCTCCTGATTCGCTCACATTTTGCTTTGCATCAAGAGGACAAGCCTTAGTTTGAGATACATTTATGACCCAGAGGATGGGTTGCAGCTGATGACTTCACCGTCAAAGCCCTCCGAAAGAACATGTTTTCAGAGATGCTGCAGAATTAGATTTGCACCCAGAGATGAGACATCTTAATGTTGGGAATGGCTTTACCACATTAAAAAGTTGTCTTGATTTGAACAGATTTGCAAACTGCTGTCTACAATAACTAATGATGTTATTGGATTGATCAATGAAATAAGGAGAAACAGCAGCAGTTAGGTAAGTGGCACATTCTGCATTAAGGAACAGATAATAGCGTCTGCCCACTTCTTATCCATTATGTGGTCAACTCCCCCACCTCTAGAATGTGGTACATTTATTTTAGGGGAACTAAGGTCAGAAACATGACTTTCCTGGGATGTTCTAATATGCCCAGAGTTGTGAAAGGAGAAGATTATGATAGATTTGAAATCACACCTAAGGCCCTGATTGATGACCTGTAAAGCTTTGTGAGGCTCTGTTCTTCCAAGTACCAAGTGGCATATGTGCATATTTACTTTCTTCAGCAGCAGGGAACTGGGTCTGTTGCCCTATACTTCTGAACATGGTGTTGCAGTACAGGTTGGTATTTTGTCCCCCTTCTGGGGAAAACAGAGGACATAGTAGAATCATACAGAGCAGCTCCTAAATGAATGACTGCCAATCTGAATGCTTGCATGCGTAGAATAATTATGCACATAAGATTCCGGAGTCTGTTGTATGTGTGAATACGAACAGCAGAATAATTGCAGTCTAGCCTTCCCCTGGGCTTAGGTGGTATTTTAAATGATAAAACATCAAATTCTCAGTGGAAAGAGCTGCATGGTCGGATTCTTCTGAAAATGTTGTTTGTTTCTGGAAATCTGAGAAGGTGGTACCTAGGCTTTGTACGTATTTTTTGCTTTCTTACTGAGTGATGCGAGTGCATCAGTGTGGGCTAACTCTACTAGCCTGTAAACCTCAGTACACCCATGATTAGAAGAGTGTGTAAATTCTAAATGGGTTTGAGCAACTGGGTTGGCAAAAGCAATTCACCTTTTCAGTAAATCAGTCTTGCTCAGCTAGTGGGGCGCCTTGTTCTTCCTTTTCTGGATCCAGGGAATGCCCACCAACAGCTGCATCTAAGCTCCTGTGGGCAAGGGGAGATGATATGTCCCTGCGTAGTCATTGGGCCGTTCAGGACTTCCATGCACTAGGCAAAATAGGTGTGCAATATCACCTGTTTTGTGACAGTATTTTATCTCTAGGCACTTGACCAAGAGACTTCTTTCTTCAAGAAAATGAAGACTGGTGTGTTGTCACAAAAAAAAGGATGGAATGTGTCTTGGATTTAGCTCTACCTTGAGCTGTCTTGGCACCCCGAAGCTGTAAACCAATCTGCACCAAAGGAGATGTGAGAAAATTGGGCTAGATCTGTATTCAAATTACTTGATGGACCATCATTTTTATTATGGCATTACTTGCCTCTTGTTCTAAGTTTTTTTTAAAAAAAAACACAGGTAAATTCTCAAAAACATGCATTGCATAGCTAAGGTGAGCAAGAATGAGGGGGTGATGTGTTGCTAAAATGTTAAGAAGCGGGATTTGGTTTGTTAGCTGTGATTGCAACAGTAAGAGATGGTTTTTGAGCATTGTACTGCAGTGCCATGAGTGCCAACATTGGTATCCACAGACAAGGAGGAGGTCCTTGGAGGCACAGAAATAAGCACATTGGATGTCTGCTTCTCTAAGAAAGAAAGAAAAGATGGCAGGAAAAGCTCACCTCAAGGTAAGTGGGCATGGCATAATGGGGAATAAAGCCATGGAATTTCCTAGACCTGCAGAAACAGTGATGACAGGAGAGGTAGAGACACTATTCTCGGGTATTAATAGAGTGGATTATTTGTTCCTATGATAGGCAAAGGATGCTTACTTTGTGGGAATTGGGGGGATAAAAGAAATACCTTTTCTGTTGTACGAGTCCCAAAGTCTTCTCTGAACCACGTCCTTAACCTCTTGCATCTTAACATCCCATTGATCACTTTAGCAAAGAACCTGAACCCCCACCATTGCAGAAATGAAAGCACCCAGTGATTCCAAGGAGGAGATGGCTCTTATAGGAATTCTCTTTTTTTAAAAAAATCTTTTGTAATAAATTAACAACAGAGGAAAGGGGAAATTAAGAAGTCAGGCTACACTATGTCAACAATTATAATGTTTCAGTGTTTTTTCAACTCTTTGGAGATCGCTTTCTGAACATTGTCTCCTTCCCAGCCTTTCCAGGGCAGAAGATGGCAACCACCGCTCTAAGTGATCTGCCTGCAAAATGCAAGGTGTACTCAGCAGTGTCAAAAGCAAACTCAGGCTGTTATCCCTGAGTGCTCCCAGTAAGTGGCAGAGAGACCTGGGGCCAGGAGGAGCAGATGGTCCTCCTAATCCACTCCATTGTTCTCCCAGATATTCCTGCTCCTCTTGACATGCAGTGTCAATAATTTCCATCCACCCTAGTGACTGTTGGAGGCACTTAGCAGTGGTGTGTGATGTTTCTTGTCTTTGGATTCATCTCAGGTGTCTCTTTATAGTCACTGAAGCTAATATCTTTTTTGCATCATAGGAATACTGCTGTTTTTATTCAATTTATATCCCAAATTTCCTCATAAAAGCCCAGGGAAGCCAACAACTCCTCAGAAAACAAACATTAAAATCACAAAATACAGGTATAACATCATAACAATCTAGACTACAGAGTCAAACTATTAAAAATACAACCAGAAAAATATGTACAAACAAGGCTCGGTCAATGACCAATCAGACATGTCCTCATTGTCTAGAATCTTGTGCGAGTAGATGTGTTTTTAACTGTGACCTGAATTATGAAGGAAAACTAGATCTCTTAGGGAAGAACTAGAGTGGCACCACTGATAAGATCACACCACATGTAGAAACCCTGTGGGCCTTGGCTACCACAAGCAAAGCTTCAGCTTCTGATTTTACCATTTTAATGATTCACTGGTTAGATCAGTTGTTTCTTTGGCCTCTGGTAGCCACAATTCTCCACTACTTTGGCTTGCTCTGGAGAAGAGAAGACTCCTTGGAAAAGACCCTGATGTTGGGAAAGTGTGAGAGCAAGAGGAGAAGGGGATGACAGAGGATGAGATGGCTGGACAGGGTCATCGAAGCCACCAACGTGAATTTGACCCAACTCCGGGAGGCAGTGGAAGACAGGAGGGCCTGGCATGCTCTGTTCACGAAGAGTCGGACACGACTTAATGACTAAACAACAATAAGCCACAATTCTGAAGAATCTTTGTGAGGCAGGTAACATGTGCTTGCACGCACACACTCCTATAAACAGAAGTTACTGACTGCAACAATTCCAGAAGGACATCTTCAGCAAACAGGCTTCCTTGTGAAAGCCTTTAATGTTTACCGAACTGTAGGTCTGAGCCTTGGGATTCTCTGAATGTGCATGGGCTGCCACTCTCATCATCCTTCCCCTGGCCATGCTAGCTAGAGCTGATGGAAGTTCCAGTCATCTTATATCTGGAGGGCCACACTTTGCCTGGCCTTGCCCTCCATTCCTAGGTAACCAGTTTTGTTCTTGGAGAGTTTTGTGTTCAACTGTAGTTTATTTCTGAACCCAAGCCCAGTAAATACATTGAGGCTTAGTTGACATCTCTTCTGGTACTGGCTTAGCCCCAGATCAGCCCTCGAGTCTTGGCCTGTCAAAGAGCTTTATGCATGTATTTATTTAATGTGTCACCTTTCTCCCGGGTGTGGGAAGCAAGGTGGCTCACAACAAGGTTGAAATGTAAGCACAAAATATTTTTTTTAAAAAAAGGTTACGCAATTAAGTCCTTCAACGGGAAGCTTTGGAGGTTGAACCAGAGACCTGCATGCAAAAGAGCAGCTGTGCCACTGATGGAGCAAATTGTCCATTCAGGGAACTAAGAATCACAGAAGACCTGTTTGGACTGGAGCCCTGGCCTGTCCAACGTTCTGTCCACCCAGCGGCCTCCCAGGAGCTCCCCTGTGAAGCACCCCAGCAGGATGTGGAAAAAGCTGAACCCTCTGTCTCTCATTCCTTGTACCCTTTGGCAGAGATGCCTCACTTCTGGGAGTGGAAAAGATCTATGCACACCTTGACTTCGTAACTGTGGATGGCCTTCGTGTAGGCATCCAGTCCCTCTGAGAGATTTTGCAAATGCTGAGAAA